GCAGCTGTACAGCATTTACACAATTTCTTACTGGCTTTATCCCGATAGGAGCACGTCGGAGATTTCATGGTATGGCATGTTGCTAGGAAGTCACCGGTCTATCGATCACGGATGTACAACAACTTAGCCCTTAGACGTTTTACAGCTCAATGGCGCAGTGACGGATACAGGAGGACGCAGGCGTGAGATGACCGGATGGGACGGTATGCACCTCGTTCTCATCCATAAGTTCGCACTTTGTCCATCGTCTACTTGCTCTATTTCTTGCCCTCTATGAAGCTGATGTCCGGTAGACAGAGCCAGTCGTGGCGTGTCCGCTCGTGTGTCGTGTCTCTCATTGTATAGGTAGTTGCTTCTGGTAAGAGTTACATCAACATGCGCTAGCGTTTGCCCCTTTTATTCGAACAGTACGATTACAAATGCAGATCAATGTCCCCCGGTACGTACCAACGCTCTGTCGTTTATGGTCCCATGTGCGTTGGCATACGGTGGATCGTTTCTCCTTGATTCAACTATGTCACTTGGCACCGATCACCCTAAAGCGCATGCACACAGCGGCGAGTCACTTACAACCGCCAGATCGTTCGGCTTCGTTACTACATTCCAGGCGTCTTGTCGCATTATAGTATCGTATTTTAGACTGTCTGTTCTTCTCTCTCTTTTCGTAATGGCACCACATCATGTCGCTCGATCTCGGCTGCACGTCTTCCCTTCTTCAAAGATGTCGCGCAGCCGAATGTCAGAGCTGACAGGAAGCAGAGCCAGCTGGTCACATTCCATTGAATGCTGATTTGTTCATGCAAATGCAAGTGGTGTGCGCGTGCGCGTGCGATTGTACGTTGCTTGATATACGTACTGTTTGTATTGCCACTGCATCATGTCGCAAGGTCCCGACTGCAGCCGAGCCATCGTGATCCCCACAGACTGCTATAAAATCTTCATTCTCGTTTTTGACGACTACGACGCACCCACCCATCCACGCCGAACCGAAGAGCACCCCCCAAATGAAGATCAAAGGTATACTTGCGACCGTCCTAGCCGCAGTCACCTGCAGACCTGCTACGAGCCAGACCGGGAAACTGGCTTGCCCGAAAACCGAAGAATGCATCAATTTCAATCAGGGGTGGCTTGAAATGATCAAAAAGAGGTGTGAGCAGGCTAGAGATCCCAGTTCTCTGGGTTGCTGTCTCGCTCGCTGCACCCAGCACAGGTGCCGATACTTCCCCACCTGCACGGGTAGAAAGCTCTATGGCACCATCGAAGACGTGACGGTTTTTTGCGTCAGTATCAATTATCCAGGGACAGACCTCGAGGCATGCTGCAACTTGCACTGCACACGCCGCGAAAGATTCTGATCGCAGACCCGTCCCTGCAATAGTGGGTATTCCCCGTCTCGGCTTCGGTCGAAGACCCAACCCTTCTGATGATACACTCACGGTCTTGCCGGCTACCATTCGATGCTACCCCTGCACACACGTCAAGCGCTGGAGAGCAGATAACGACAATCTAGCTTGAACACAAAGATCTGTTGTTTGCTTCCTGAACTCTTTTTATGCCGTTGTGTCTGATTGTTTTGTTAACCGCGGATGTCGGTAACTACCGCCTCCAGGTGTCGTCGCTCACCGATGCATTCGACAAAGCACGAATGGCCAAAACAGGTACCGCCTCGCATTTGGTCTATTTGAAAGTCTGTGTCCAGTAATCTAACTACCGTCATTTAGTCTTTTTCGACGTCATTTTGCTCTGTAGTTGTCTTTTTGCTTGATGAATTGTACGCTGACGCAGCCGTTACGTCCATCAACCATCGCATAGTTTGCACAAGCTGCAAGGCAATACCTTTCACCGATAAGTGCCTTTTCGTCGACAAGTCCATACTGCACCAAACAGCCTTTCATCTTGATACTCGACACGTGTGGTGGGATGTCAAGATGTGACTCACTCTGGTCTTGGCTTGCACATTCTGTGACAAACCTGAGCGAAGCAATGCCTGACAACGTCGACGTCATAGTAGCAGCAATGCCAAGCTTAACAATGATGTATGTAGGATAAACACGGTCTGACGATAACACAGTCCCCAAAAACACGCCAGGGGCTTTTTGAGTTCGTCGTACGAAGATGTGCTATCGCCTTCAAAGGTTTGTCAAGATCAACCGAACAAAGCCCACAAATGTTGTCATGGCAACGCCTCGAAAGGAACGTTTGTGATTTGAGGCAACTATGTACAGATGCTACGTCATTCACTATTGGGACTGCTTGAGCAACACACACTACCACTACGGCCGCTGTGTTCGGGGATGCCAGTCTGAACGGGATGCCGGCGGTACGCTTCTCTTTGCTATACGGTATCTATCCAAAGATGTATTTCGGGCGTCGGCAGGCGAAGGATAAAGCTCGATGTACAGCGTACTTTCACCGTCATCGGCAACACCGTTCAGACCTTTAAATGAGTTACGAATGGGTCACCAATACAGTGCGGGACAGACGGCGCTGCAAGTCCGTTTGCACGATGACTAGAGGTGAGTGAGATCTCCAGGAACAGTTTTACTTTGTGTTATGGATGGCAAGCAGCTTGGCCGGGAACTTCTAGAAGAAAATAGCGCGAACAACCGTCGATTCCAATCAAACCCAAGAAGCCAGCAGCTTCTGCAAGGGTCGGTCTCTCCGCTGCTGCATTGGACGCGTTTGCTGGGCGGCTGCCCAGCTGCGACGCTCGACACACATGCGTTTTGTAGGTAGGTGCCATGGATTGTGCAGCTCGGTTTCCTCGAGCAAGCCTGGCGACCACAGCATGTGTCCTCTGTAGTTGCGAAACGGCAGACAGCTGTTGACAACTAACACGACGACATGAGAAGCTGAAGTCTTGTCTGCAACGAGAAGCGATTGACCCGCGTTCGTTCTTGCATCGCATGCTTGGATGCGTAAACAAAGACTTGTGTACCATACGAGTAGCGTCCAATACGCTCCAACTGACTTGTTGACACTCGCAGAGCTGCATGACGCGACTCTAGTGCTAGCAAGTTTGGAACAGCCAATGGACAAAGCGGCGATCATCCGGATCGGTTAGACTTGACACAGCAACATCCCGCGAGTACGAGTACCTCACCGTCAAATGCTCCGATATCTAAAAGGGGCCACTCTTTCGCCGCGACGCACTACGATCTCGTCGTGTCTCGCGAAGCAGTTGTGAAACCAAATCATCGGTAGGTTCTTCGTGTCAAAAAGGTGATGTCGAGTATGAAGTCTGCAGTGTTTCATGCTGCACATTACATGTCAAATCACAATGACACGCAGTACAGGCAGATCCTCCGTGAGCGCAGAACCGACTTTGTGACAGATATGCAACTCCCTTCAGGCCCTTGAACTGCGGTCTTCAGATCAAAGCTTGGACTCTGCTGACGCTCATCTGTTCGCCTTTGCCGAGCAGCAGAATCTCATCAAGCAGTACGTAAGATACCGCGCTGACTGATGGATACTCACAATCACGATGCGTCCGTCGCCTGCTACATCTTCCAGAGCTGCAAAACTGAATGCGCCAAGGAACCATTGAGTCCAGCAGTGGGCTCATCAAGAAGGGAACGTCAGGCGAACGACGAATCTCATGCCAATGTCCACACGTCTTCTCTCGCCGCTAGATACTTCACGTCGACCACGTACGGCGGCTACACACACGGACCCAATGCGCGAACTTGCTTGAACTTGCATGGCCGAGGTCAAACTCTGCAATCACGCGATCAACATTTGCGTCCCTATGTTGTTTCACCGGCGTCGCCACGAGACATAGCTGTGCCGAGTACGAACTGCATTCACGTGCGTCCAGCGTCGAGTACAGTGAATCGTCCTGCTGTACACAGACAGCAATGCGGTGGTGTGCTCGTTCGGCGACTGCTTGCTACACGAGCGGCAAGTCAACCGCAACCTGACACTATGCATTGTCCTCAACTCCGATGCATTCGACACAGTCGTTTGCCCGAGTCGCTTGGTCCCCATAGACCAAACACTTATCGTGCAATATACTCCTCAAATTCGTGTGCCAAAGCGTGACGCACACCCGATCATTGTCGACCCGATAATTATTTCAGCACTTCTGCGTCTTTCAGAGACCGTGGGGACGCTGGACGGTCATGACACGCGCCGTGAGGCTGTCGTCGCTATTCAACCGCGTTTTTCGCTTGTCGATCAATTCTGTACTCGGGCACAAGTGGCGGAGAATATCGCAGGATGCCAATCAGAGCGTGTCAAGATGAAGCGAATGCGGAGAAAGTCGACATCCGTAGCTGACCCAGAATCTCATGTGCAGCTCATCACGAAGTAGACGACCATGGTGCATGGGTGTCGGGTAGAGTATCACGTTTGCGCAACCAAACGTCCTGCTCCTGGGCGATGGCGCTCTGGACAGCGAGAACAAGCACGGTCTTGCAGGTGTCATGATGGTTCACGACATAGTGGCTTGCCACTTATTGCGAATTCAGAAAGTAGCCGTGATCGCAGCGACGTGCAACAGTGCGATCGATAAGCTGGATATGCTGCAAAGACCCGATGCAGTCGACACTGAGGGACGATGATGCTGCAAGCATAGTCCGTGTCGCGGTCGATGGGCTTCCACGATATTCGGGGCCAAGCCACATAAGTATGAAGCACTGCGTTATGATCATGGTGTGTGCGTTCCTGATCGCAGTTAGTCAGGGACTCCATTTTTCCCACCGAGAACGAGCCCGTGTAAGACTTGCGACGTCTTGCGACGTACCGATGCTTTGACAGTAGACTGCAGCTATTTACAGAGCAACCACACACACACACGCAAACTTGTGTCGACAACGCTTTCCTCATCGAACGTCAGCAAAAGACACCACACGTCCATCACTCATTAACTTTTAACTCGATCAACCTGTGCAACATTACATACATACAGCGCTGTTCCAAGCAATAACGACTCTTGTTCGCACGAACCCTGACCAACGCTGACTTTTGACACTCACGCACCATCGGCTCTTGACACTCACTCACGTACCATCATCCCTTGACTCTTGCAGCGCGAGACTTGCCTCCCCGCCGCAAAGCACAGCAACAATTCGGTTGAATTCTGTCTTCAGCGCATTCGAGTCCAACACCAGTCGATATTCGCCACCCATTTTATCGGCCACAGATTGTAGCACCGATGCGTTCACCCTCCCGAATCCCACGACGAATGCCTTCAAGTCGTATTTGGCGTACATCGAGTGAATGTGCTGAGCAAGCGTGATTCCCAAACGGAAGTCCCACGGCCGGCCGTCCGAAAAGAAGATCAAAGTCGCCTTGTACTCCTTGAAATCATTTCGTGACAACACTTCATTCGCAGCGCGCAAGCCCTGTTCAAAACTGGTCCCCCCACCAGAAAAGGGCACAAGCATTGCGTTCGACTCGCCCAACGGTACCTTCTCACAGAAAATGCGGCTTTCGTGGTCAAACGTTACGTAAGAGACCAAATCGTTTTCACCTCCGTCCTTCAGTCGGCTGGCGGCAAAGTCATTGCATGCGTACAGCAAATCTTGCCATGGCTGCCCATTCATCGATCCAGAGCTGTCCAGGACAAACACGTTGTGGAACGTACCTGAATCAATCGCATGCACGCACTCAAACTTGTGGCCGTCGACGTAAGCAAACTTGTCATCGCCCTCTTCAGGTCTCACTTCAGGCTGATGCCAAGCGTCCAGGACACAGTACGAGGGTAACTTCCCTTCTTCCTCGTGTTCTGGCGCATTGCACTGAAAGCGACACATCGCAAACAGAGCTCGCTCGGTTTCGTTGCATGGGTCCACCCACCCGATCGTGGACCAAAACTTAGCATGTAGCAATTCGTCCATGGCTCGTTCCGGCACTGGATACAGGTTGTCGGTACAGTGGCGACGCTGGTCTTGTTCGACGATGCTAGCGTCTTCGCCAGCATAGACGCACATTTCATCAGCAGAACCCTCGCACGACAAGTAGTGCACATGACCACGACCCATTTTCGCACAAAATAGGTTGCACATCTCGGCAGTTCCCGACTCGCCGACTTCGTACTTCCGTTCTCTGACTTCAATGTCCTTGTCTTTCGCTAGAAAATACGTCGAGCGCATGTTACCGTGCGAGGTGTCGTGTAGACCCATGTGGCCGACGTCTTTGTTACAATAGTAACTGCAGCACGGGCAACGCACATGGCAAAAATGAACTACATCCTGTCCATCTTCATCACCCAAACTTTGAGCAGCACAAGAATGTTCCAATCCGTTGTGGTCTTCTTTCCCAGCAGGTATGACGTGCTTACAGCGCTTTTTGCTGCCGTTCATCTCGTGATGAATGTACTCGAACGAGCCACGTGAACCTTTGTACGTCCGAGACGACTTCGTAATGTGAACCTTTTGCTCACAAATTCCATCCAACACGCACATTTCACCACAGACATGCGCTCTGTCGCAAATGTGTGTGACTTTTGCAGGATCGGCCGCTTCGTCAGCGCTCTCACTGAAACCCGCTGCGTGTGACATTCCGCTTTCGATAGCAAATGCACGAGATTCGGTCGCCTGACCATGGAAGTGGTCTCTTTCGCAACACAACGCTTCGCATGACTTCATCAGGCATGGATGGATACAGCGCACCTCGGCACACTTGTGGATTGAATGCTTCCGCTGCACGTCAAGCAAACAAATGCTCTTGCAAGTTGCTGCGGAGCAGCCAGCACCACAAACATGCACTTGAACGGAACAACGATGGTCACCGAGATGGTCTGCTAACAAGGAGCAAGTTTTGTCGCAGTTCGGAGCCTGAACCAGCGAGCACTTTTTCCCACAACTGTGGTCTCCCTTACTGCATTCGCACTTTCCTTCATGGCCTGCCCGACGAAAACACACAGGCACTTCTCCTGGTAGCCCAGCTTGGCATTCGTCATACTCACAGAATCCACGGCATTTGTGGTTGGTACCGCAATCGTGTTTAATCTCAACTGTGTGTACCACGGAATGCATGCATCCAAGCTGACAGCGAGCGCACCTGTGCTGGCAACGAGCGAAGCTCAACTCAAATGGAGCTATATGCTGTTGTTCCAGTTGGGCTCGCGCTTTAGCCGATCCGTCATCGAGCACATCTCCCAGCCACTGTTTTACCTTCATTATACGTCGGCGCAGTGCGAATACCAAAAAAGCGTCAAAAGCGAGCTGGTCTCCGACGACTAGTTTGGAAGTGTCACCTCCGACTCCACGGAGAGATGAGAAACGATGAAAGTGCACCACCAGCGCCTTGTGAATAGTGCCACATTTCGTGCCACCAGGCATCGTCACGTCGAATCCAAAATCTAGCGATTCGTCGTTGATATCGTCCAAGGATACGACATCGTCCAAGCTTCGCCACATTGAAGCACGCTCCGGATACGCTTGACATACATTCTCTAGCGAGATGACGATCTTTTCGCGAGTGCCGACGCGCACGACATCTTCCTTCAAATGGGAGGGAATCGACGGATCTGCCACCAAAGAGTGGGCAACGCAGCAACCCGTCCGGAGAATACCTGGTAGCTTTTCGTTCGCGTCTACGATCAGCAGATGTTCCGTGTCCTTCTCCATACTAGTCCAGTCCAAAATCGAGATCTTCGACAATACCAATCGGAAGCAGTCCAGAAAAGTCTTTCCTGTCGCAAACCCCGCCAGTGGTTGATCCAATAGACTTACGATGTGGCACAGCCTTTTCAACACGTCGTTTTCCATGCTCTGATAGTACTCCGTGGTGCCAAATGGTGGTGTGCAATTGATCACCAGCTGACCGGCATACATCTCAGTCAAGAAGTTCTGGGCTTTGTTTGCCTCAAATACTCGATCAAGCTTGACAGAAAGCTCGTCAACAACTCCTTGACGGTCATTCATATTCACATCTTTGACACTCATGTAAAGGAGTCCTCGAAAAAGTTTCGGTTCCTTCTTGAGTAGCTGCACCCCCTTCTGGAAACGAGAGAACAGACTATCGACGTCTTTGTCGAAACGACTGTCCATACGGAACACCGTGAGCTGCGATACTGAAGCGTTGAGTACAGAAAGAAACACGTCCTCCTGTTCTGACCTCTCGAATGAACCAAGACCTTCAAAATCCAAAACAACAAGAAGCATGTCACTAGACAAAAAACGCACCGACATCCATACCCCTTCCGTGCACCGAGAGCCAGCAATCGCAAACGTCGTCCCTGTAAGGTTATTGAGAAAGTAGCTCTTTCCTGTGGATTGCTTTCCCATGGACGTAACGACCACACAACGCCCACTCCACGACTCCACTAGCGGCGAGAGCAAACCGAAGCGAAGCGACTGAGCAATCTCAGCTGCGCTACTTCCCGCTAACGAGCTCACACTCTTAGTCCTTGACGTGTCCTTGACACTCCTTCCGTTTCGCAGAAGCTTCAGCATATTGTCTTCTGCACGGCAGATTTGCACTGGTACAAACGAGACAATAGCTGTCAGCACTTCGCGAACTGGTCTGGTTTGATACGCGTGTCCGCACGTTACACTCGTCGCCAGGTCCAACCCAAAGAGCGGCTTGTTCAGCCGTCGGATATCAACCATCACTTTGTGAAAGTATCGTCTGCAGATCGTAACAAGTAGCTCGTCGTCTTCCTGAGCATCAAGAGGCGGAGACACGGTAATTCCTACGTCCAGAGGGAACGAGTCCTTCGGCAACAACGCTTGGTCAATCAGACACCGTACCGGAAATTTCTCAAACACATGATAAAACACCCGCAACCAGTGCTCCGATGCGTCATCTGCCGTGTTCGTCCCTAGTCCACGCCCTCTCTGAGTGACCTTTCCGCCATCGCCAAACCGCTGAATGCGAAATGCGTCACTTCGAACGGTGACATCCAACTTGTACGCATGTATCGCTCCCTCTCCGGCATTCAGTATGTACAGATTGTCACCAGCGCAGCCCACTCCAAGTCCTGCTGACCCCACAACATCGGAAATGTTCACAGCGGGCAACTCTCGGTGGTCATCACTGGAAATGAAACTCACACGTATGGTGTGGTCCTTTTGGACAATGGCTCGCCCGACCACAAGCTCGTCTGCAAAGCTCAACAAGCCACCGATCCACTCACCCGCGCCAAGCGACGTCTTCTTCGACGTTTGGCGTGACCGCACATCATACGACTGAACGTGGCCTTTTATGTCGACAGCATAGATCGATCGTTCCGTCAAAAGAATGTCCACCAAAGGGGCCGTCAGACTAAGCGACGTGTCCAGCGCGATATCTCGCATCACGTCGATCCTTGTGAATGTGTCGTTAAAGCGGCACAAGGCAGCTGTTCCAAAATACTCGCCAAACACGAATGCGACTTGTCGATCTTGAGTCCGTATAGAACAGAGTGAACAGGCGCGCGGAAACGTTCGCACAACGTATTGCTCGCCCTTTTTTTCTCCGGACCGAGTTGCCTGCACGTCGAACTGAATGCGTTGAACAACTGTGCTGCAATCTTTGACAAGAACTGCGATGATCTGATTCATTTTGCTCGTGGCTAGTTTTCGGAGCTCGAACCCGGGATCGAACTCAGCGGTCCCAAGCAGCGTCATTGCAGCAAGGCTGCCGCTTGATATGTCGTACAAACGCATCACTTTCGTAGGCACTTTTTCCACTTCTTTGCTCCATTCGGCGTCGACATAAGCTTCGTCTGGTGTCAGTCTACGGATAGCAACTTTCGATTGCAGCTGCCGACCGACGCGTATCAATAGGTACGCGCGGAGCTCTTCAAACGCTGCATTCTTTATCATAGCTCGTTCTTCATGCGATTGCGATTGCAGTTCTTTTGCTCGTAGTTGAAGATTTTCCTTCCGGACCGCAATCGACAACATGGATATGACGCGTGGTAACACAGCTAGAAAAGCGTTTTGCAGCTTTAGCTGATGCTGCTGCATTGCGCATCGGAACTCGGGTCCAAACTTCAGCTTTCTAGTCCATACCATCCCCCAATAACTACGGATACTTTGATAGTACCCTGTAAGCGAATTTTGATAACGGGCGGAAATAGCCGTCAAATTGTCGGTCTCAATGCATCCAAGCATTTCCTCGAAAAAGGCGGGCTGGCGTTCGAAAACTTCAGCCAGCAGATCCAAACTATTCTGCAGTCTTTCAGGGATTGTAAGTGCTGTGCGTGTCTGATCGTCGAGTTCATCCAGCACCTTGTATCTGTTCAGCTCGTCCAATAGATGATCGTACTGTCCGCAGGCTGCCTGTTGCTCTAAGTCATTCGGAGAGTATGGAATAGCAACAAGCATTTGGCTCACATCGACCATTGCGACGTATATCCCATTCACATAGTGCGTCACATGTTCACCAACTAACTTTACCGCTTCTGCCAATTTTCCGTCCATTCGCACTCGCGACTCATCTAGGCCTGACTGCGGAAAATAGCCGAACTTTGCAAGCACGCAGTTGCGCACATCCACGGGTAACAGATCTCCATTTACGAGCTCTACCGCATAATTGACGCTCTTTTCCTGTAGCCAGTCTGCGAAGTTTGTACAGCTCAACGTCTCGTCTTGCGACACCCACTCTGTTACCGATGGTACTGCGCTTTCGACAGCAATGGCTGGGAACATTCCGCTGACAATCTGGATAGTTTTGATGTCAACGGTTTGAGGAACAAGAGCTTTCGCCGGCCCAGTACTGCAGATACTGTCCCTCTGCTCCATGTGTCGTTTTACTTGAAATTCAACCGAACACGATTGCCATCGCATGCTTGAGCTGTCAAACCTAGCGTCTGTCACACGCTTCAGGAGTTCAAAATCACTTCGAGACATACAGCACGTGATGGCCGAGCTGAGGGACAGTAAAAATCGAAGCACATACACAGGGGTATCGCGTATTGTTTTCGGTCCAAAAAGGTCGGCACGAAGCCACGAGAACGCCACGAATCCGCGACCGCCTGCACATTGGGTGCCGCATTCAAGGCAATAGACACCCTGGTCTTGGTAAGTGATCAGATTGTCACACGCTCGACTCCAAATCCCCATTCGATCGAGCTCCGCCTTTACTTCTACCTGCTTACCAAACAAACAACCAATTTCGAGTTGCTCATCAACGGCTTGATCGCTGTCGACATGTCCATCGCAGCCGCCTACTCGAGTCACAAGCTTGTCACGAATGAAACGTGCGAAGTCAGCGTCATACTCACTGGGGTCAAACTTGCCGAGCTCGAACTTAGTCCGGTCACCTCCACCGGACATAGACATGCCCAATTGACGACACAAACGCAGTACATCAACTTCGTCTACAATGACTTTCATCACTTTCACGTCGCCTTGTAGTTCTTGCTTGAGAACTAGCAGGCGAAAAAAATTACTCGGTACACAATTACGTCGGGCCTTCTTGCGTGTCATACTTCCTGTCTTCGTTGCACTGCACGGCAAAATCGAAAATGGTCAGAGAACTAGCGGCTGTAGATGCATATACTCCCGTTGACAGTTTAAGATGACGTGCTGGCCCGTTGGAATAATGGCACAACCGTTAGCGGCAACGTCACGAGAAGACAAACGCGGCGTCGTCCATTTCCATTTGTTCAAGACGAGAGCATGTATCGAACAATAGTCTCTATTCAAACGTGCTCCACACGCACCACTCGGCTCCTTCCGCTCTCTCCAACCGCTAAAAGGAAGAAAAACTGGGAGGCATCACTGACGTGCCTAGAAGGATCTGTTGAATCGGCACGCGCTTCTGCTCCAAACTGTCGCGGTCACGAACCGTCACACACTTATCGTCCAGAGTATCGAAATCCACAGTCAAGCACATTGGCGTGCCGATCTCGTCTTGGCGGCGGTAACGGCGGCCAATGCTTCCCGCCACATCATAGTCCACGCTAGCACTTCCACACAAATCCTCGAAAAGCTTCTGAGCCACTTCCAACAAAGGTTCCTTCTTCACAAGAGGCAGCACTGCGAAACGGTACGGAGCGATATCCGGATGCAGACGCAGCAGGGTGCGTTGTCGGCCGTTTACTTCTTCTTCATCGTAAGCATCCAGCAGCATCGAAAGCATGACACGTCCAACACCGAGCGCCGGTTCAATCACGTGCGGCAAGAACTCTTCTTTCGCAACAAGGTCCTGATACTTGAGACTCTTTCCACTCGCGTCCATGTGTTTCTTCAGGTCATAGCTGGTGCGATTTGCAATGCCCCACAACTCGCTCCAGCCAAACGGATACTTGAACTGAATGTCCGTCGTGGCGCGAGCGTAGTGGGCTAATTCCTCAGGCGCATGTTCGTGCTTCCTCAGATTCTCGGACTTGATGCCGTACTTGGTCAGAAAGTCGTAGCACTGGTCCACCCAGTAGAGGTACCAGCCGTCCGATTCGTTCGGATTGGTGAAGAACTGCAGCTCCAGTTGCTCAAACTCGCGCGTGCGAAACAGAAAGTGCCCAGGCGAAATCTCGTTGCGGAAGCTCTTGCCCATTTGACCAATGCCGAACGGCAATTTCTTGCGCATTGTGCTCTGCACGTTGGCAAAGTTAATGTAGGCACCTTGCGCCGTCTCTGGACGTAAATAGATCCACTCGCAGGTCTCGTCTGTAGCACCCATGTTGGTACGAAAGAGCAAATTGAACTGCTTGGTGGGCTGGAAGCTGCGCGTGTGGCTGCAGTGAGGACACGGCACGCCAAGCTGTACAAGCAAAGCATCCATTTCGGATAGCGACAGCGACGCGACGGCGTCAATGTCCTGCAGCTCGGCTTCAAGCAACTGGTCCACGCGGACGCGGGAGTTGCAATTGCTGCAGACCGTCATGGGGTCCGTAAAGTTCTTCACGTGGCCAGACGCCGTCCAGACGGCCGAGTTGAGCAGCACGGAGCTGTCGAGACCTACGCAGTTGGGGCGCTTCTGCACGAACTCGAGCCACCAGCGATCCATCACGTTCTTCTTCATGAGTGCTCCTGCAAACGTGCAGCAGTTGAGAGGACACGCAACAACCAAGTGGCATTAGCATACAGACGTGTAGGTAGACAGGCATGTATATACATATAATATATAGAGATAGATAGATGGATCGATCGATCGATCGATAGATAGATAGATAGATAGAGGGAATGGTGGACGACGTACCGAGCGGTCCATAGTCAAAGCTGTTGGCGAGGCCGCCGTAGAGATCCGAGCCAGGGAAGACGAAGCCACGATGACGACACAGTGCCACGACGCGCTCTTGCAACGTGTCGCGTGGTGCTTTCGTGGCAAAGCTGCGGCTCAGCGCGCAGGAGACGATGGCGCGGCGGGGCATGATGGGCGTGGTGGAAACGAGATGGCTACAGAACGGAATGTAGCCAAAAAGCGAGCGGACAAATGTAGCCATCGAATGCCGGTACGGCTGTCGTTTTCGATTGTACGTACAAAGACAGCCACAATTTGGACGCACAAAGATGTAGCTACAAGAGGTGCGTACATTTGTTCGTCACCCGAGCTACATGACCGCAAGGACGTTGCTGCGGTTGTTGCTGCTGCACGACCGACTGGAGACAGCTGACGACTGGGATGGGGCGCTGGAAGAGGAGGGACAACTGCATGGTAACGCTACGGACATGGACGACGAACAAGAGGCTCGTCGTCGACGTGCGTTACGGATCGTCGGCGCCATCGGCGACGTCGTACCGCATCTGCCCAATTACAGCGCCGTGTCGACGAAATTAACGGCACTGATGCACTATGGCGAAAAAGTGGACGCAGGTCAACTCCATCAACTTGTGCAGCAATGGCTGCAGCAGTCCCATCGTACGCTTTTTCGAAAATGGCTCGTCTGCGACTGGCTGCAGTGTAGCCAGCTAACAATTACAGCAGGAGATGCAGAAGAGCTCGTGCAATGGCGACACGCGCTGGTGGTAGCGACACTGCACGAGGTGGTCAAGTCACTCAAGTGGACCTTACTGCGAATCCTGCACGCAGTCAACGAGGCGATGGAAACGCGATGTACAGACGACCGAGACGCGAAAGGGACGATCGATACGTCGACGGCGGCATCGATGCAGGCGATCGGGACCGTCGAAGAGCTGCTGGATTTTTGTTTTCTACGTGCTGAGCAGCTTGCAAGTTACAGTCTTCTCTGTGCTGCGAAACTGCATGCGCTGGCGGTGAAGACCCAGCGGAGCGCGACAAAACTCGTGGAAGACGAGGAGGTGCTGGTGAGGTTGCGGTGGGCGTTCATGCTGAAGCCCATGCTCTTTCGACCCCTGCTACAGCACGCAATCGCGTTGAGGACTATCGCGGAAAAAAGTGCAGCACATCACGTGCGCACGAGCACAGCACTGTCGGGTCTTGTCAACTTGGTGGATGCCACCAGTCGAGCGACGATTTTGCTGGAGATGCGTGCAATGGGAAACGAGCTGGATCGTGCGTTCGCTCGTGGTGCTAAGCACATTCGCAGACTTGTCTTGACATCAACATGTCGAGCTGCTATCGAGTCTGCTGTGCGTGAGTACGTCCAAACACTTTCGAACGGAGCGAAAGAACGTCTACTGGCAGAGCTGGAACGTGACTTGGACGAGGCACCACCACACTTGTTCCCGCACATCTTCATCTACTTATCGTTGCTTCTCGGCGCCACGCTTTCACCGCGAGTTCCAGGTCACCAGAACCCCGTGACGTTCCGCGCCGTGTCGATCTTGCTCTCGCTCTTTGATCGACGTGGTCACGACGTTGATAGCTGTCAAGACGTGCTCGGCCAGTTGCTTCACCCCGCGCTTGCCGACGACCCCATGTGGCTCGACGAGCAAAACTCGTCACTGTACATTGAGACAATCGCGCGGCTCTCTGAGACTGCAACGATTCAAGTCGAGCCACAAAAGCTGACGTGGGTCGTCACCATGGCTTTGCACTACCTGCTCTTCGAGTGCGACGTCAAGCTCCTTCATCGCCACCAAGCAACGCTCACACAATGTGTACCCCAGCGCACCGTGCGCCTCGTCAATATTCGGCTCGGCAACTGTTGATTCGTCACTTTTGTTCAATAGTGCTGTCCTCTCTCTCTCTCCTTTACTGGACGCTGTTACTGCTTTTGGTCGGTCACCCCCACTCTCTCGTCTACTTTTGCTCTTGAGGCTTCGACATACCGCCTTTAGGGCCGCGAATCCTCTGCCGCATATCCAACTGGCCGCGTCTGCACTCGAAATACGCCACGCGGTACTCCTGTAACGAACATTGACACATACACAAACAAACACACACACACACACACACACAGAGTAATTCGACCGTCGCTCTTCTCGTCACGTCTCTATTTCCTTCGATGCAACGTGCCTGGCACTCGTGCGAGTACTTGTGGTCGTGTAGACACTGCTTCAGCGTCTTTGTCCCGTCTGCCATGCACGGTTGCTGCAGCATACAGTCGCGAAGAGCTTCGGCCATGTCGCGACACCCTTTGCCCATTGTTTGTTTTACTTGTTGTTGTTATTGTTGTTGTTATTGTGGGTTATGTGGAGTTGTCAATCAGGTCGATGATGATCAGTCATGACAGTATATCGAATGTGAGAGGGCGAAAGAAAAGCCGGATATTTGCGACGCCACCATCGCTCACGAGCGGATGTTCTCGAACCTCTGAGCTTTGATCAATTGTGTCGAGTGTGCAGTCAGAGTGGCACTTTGCAATCGACGGCGTTGTGACTTCCAGAACGTCAGAAAAGATGCTGCCACGTGGCTGCCTACCACTGCTGTTGACGGTGCTGAGCGTCTTTGCGGCTTGTACTGCGCTGGCCGACTATGGTCCACGCGATGCAGTGGTAGTGCTCACGGAGAAGAACTTTGAGAAGGAGGTGCTGCAGAGTCCGGACTATTGGCTTGTCGAGTTTTATGCTCCTTGGTAGGACCGCTCGTGTTGTGCGCGACAAAGTGGTTACGGTCGCGTGCGAACTTAACAAGTAGACACCCGTACTTACAGAGAGTGGGTCGTTGTTGTTGTTTGTGGTAGGTGTGGACATTGCAAGCAGCTCGAGCCCGAGTTCAAGGCAGCGGCCAAGAAACTGAAGAAACACGTGCGTGGTTGGGATGCATGTCTTTTGTTACTCCAGGGCGACTTTTGAGGGCACCCGTTTGTCGTGGATAGCTACGATGCCCAAATTGACGAGGGACTTGTGTCAATGTGACGTTGATGTAGGCTCGACTGGGTGCTGTTGACGCAACGGCTTACCAGCAGTTGGCACACAAGTACCAGATCAAGGGGTACCCGACGATCAAAGAGTTTGGTGCGAAGAAGACACGTCCACAGGACTATCGTGGCGGCCGCACTGCGCGAGACATTGTGCAGTACGTGAAGAACTCACCCCAGGCAAAGAAGCTAGGAGTCAGCAGCGCCAATATTGCGACTCTCGCGTACGAGAATGTGTATGCGTTCTTGAACGCCGGTAAGCCGTCGGCTGTTTTCTTCGGCAGTCCCAAGAACGGCAAGAAGAGCTCCAAGACACCGCCGAAGTGGATGAGCAGCTTGGCCGAGTCGTTCATGGAAGGCACGAAGAAGAAAAGGAGCCCGAAGGTGCAAGTGGCGTATGTGCCAGGATCAGATGGCCAGATTGCCAACCACTTTGAGCTTGACGAAGACGCGCTGCCTACTGTCATCTACGTGTACCCAGTCAGCCACAAGTACATTGTGCTGGAGGGGAGTACCGTGAACGAAGCTATCGCCAAGAAGTTTATCGATGACGCGTTGGCGAACACAGAAGCGGCCGAGGCGGATGGGTTGCTGCCTCTGGTGCCGTTGTTCCCGTCGCCTGCACTGGCGAAGAAGAGACCCATGGTTGCATTGGAGGAACTGAACGTGGAAACCGTTGGTGATTGCGTGGCGAACCGGAACAAGATGTGCGTCGTGGTGGCGAAAGAGGACACGGAGTTGGCGCGCTCGCTAGCAAAGAAGTACCGCCGTGACCCGTTCGTGTTCTTGGCCAGTAAGCCGGACGCGCCGATTTTCCAAGCTCTGACCAATTTCGTTGGCGAGACTGCTGAAGTGATTGTCATGAGGTCCGGCCACACGATGAAGTATTTGGGTACGTGTTTGCGATGCGGCCAAGTTCTGTATTGTGGCGGTCTGTACTTTTGTCGTTCTCACCATTCGCTGTGTTGTTCGATATGACGTGCAGCCCTGCCCAGCGCGGGCGATGAGAGCACTATGTCGGAGTTCTTAGACAAGCTCATTGACGGCACGACTCCGCTCTCGGCGGTCAGCGGTGACATGCAAACTTTCGTCGCCGCGGTCACTGGCGCGTCGGTGGAGCACGAGGAACTGTAAACTGTGTGGTTGGTTGTGTTTGCAAGGAAGACGACCAGCGGCAAGCAGAAGAAACGTGGACGACGCAGGCGGCAACGACGACGACAGGCACGGTAGCCAACGTCACCTGGTGTTTACCGATACAATGGAATGCAGCAATGCTTTGTCGAGTTTTGCATCAACAACGCCTTTTTGTCTTCTCGTTGACGTCGTTGTTGCTTCCTTTTGTCAAGCTGTGTGCTACCAGAAAAACGCAGCGACTAGTTGGAAATGGAACTCGACCGCTGGATGCGCAGACGCGAGCCGACTTCTTCGTCCATGGCTCGGTACGCCGGAATCGTGTCTGCCCGCTCGCAGTAGGCGTTCATAGGCAGCACGTACGCAAAGCAGCGCACGAGGTCCTCGGGGTCGTGCTGCTCTTCCGCCAACGACATGGACGCGGCGAGTTCCTGTTTCCTCGTTGCTTTGTCCCGCACGCTCGGGGGCAACACGTGCGCTCCTCGAAACTGACGTCGCACGAGGTGCGGCACGAGGTCTGCTTTGATGCTCGCAATGTACTTTTTCTCCTGCAGCAAGTCGAGCACCCAGTGCGAAAAGATGTAAAAGTGGCCGTCGTACAGGTCCGTATGCAGCACAAAGTGGCTGCGCCGCTGGAGCAGACTCTTGGCCACGTCCACGTGCTCGTTCATGTGCACCGCTTGCGACACCAGCACGACGCGGTTCTCTTCGTGCCGCTCGCACTCGACCAGTGCAATACAGTCAGTCATGTCCTTGTCGCGACGCGCTTTCTCCGTCTTCTTGCTGGGCCGCAAGGGGGCGTCTTGGCGAAGGACCATCGTGACGCTCGCGTCGTTCATCCGGTGAAAGTCCGCCACGTTGTGGAGCACTACGTCCGTGATGAGGTCGCCGGCCAGCACGATAAAGTCGCGCTTGATCTTGTCCGCTACTTCACGCAGCGCCTCGGCGGTCTCGGTGTTCTCGGTTACTTCACACAGCTCCACGTGGAGCTTCCCGTCAAACTCGCGCGTGACATAGTCCTGGATGGCCGGTAGGAAGTCCGAGACCGTGAGCACGAGCACTTCGGTGAAGTTCGACGTCTCGAGCAGGTGTAGCTGGTACCAGAGGAGCGGCTTGCCATTGGCAGGTAGCAGTGTCTTGGGCGTCTCCTCCGTCAGCGGGTACAGACGAATGCCGCGGCCACCAGCTAAAATAATGGCTTGGAACTCGGCCATGCTGGAAAGTCTCTGCTGGGCAAATCGTACATGGCTGGCGCTTAAGTGCGGATCGGAGGACGGATAGAGCTGTGCGGGTGGGTGGCTCTATTTTGTTTAGAAAGCGCTATACGCGTCGATTCTTGACTTGACGTGTGCAGCACAGTATCCGTGCCGGACTGGATAGCGACAGCATAGCGAGCTGCATGTCTGCGCATCTGAACGTCTTTACAGGATGTACGTACTGAGCTGCTCAGGATAGTCAACAGACAGTATGGAAATCGGAACTCGGTCTAGAGAACGTGGCAACGACTGGACAGGCCATACTCGACGCTCGATGTACGGGGCAGCTCCATGCCGTCACTTGCCTTCGCATGCCCAACTTCTGCTCTGCTCTTCCAGCTCGAGATGCAATGCTTGACATGCGCGACAGTTGCTACACATACCCGTACTTTGTCGCAGCAGTACCAATAGCAATCGTCGCGCACGCTGTTGACGTGTCCTTGTCATCACGTGTGCGGCCTGAGTGGGGTGGCAACAACGCTGATCGACTGTGCGTTGCATTCCGACACTCGGCACTGCAAGCTGAAGGCTGAAGGCTGAGACGCGTTTGTGGCGACCGCTGTGTCGACAAACACGACACCATTGCTCAGGGTTGTAGTCGAAGCGTTGCAGCAATCGATGCATCCTATCAGTCGTAGATTGATGCATCCTCAGCTGGGCACCATCGACAAGGAGGTCACCGTGATAGCGAGTCTTGTGCTACGTCGTGGTACGCATAGGTCCTAGTGCCTCCCTTCCGTTGACCCGTATCGCTGCAATACTGTTGCAAACGACATCGACAGTCACGCTCATGGGTGTCAAAGTGCAGCGTGCGATGTGAGAGCTGCAATGTGTATACGCGACTGAAGCTGTTCCCGACGAACTCGTTAGTGTCTACGGCGAAGGAGCACGAAAATGGAAAAGCAGGACGAGAGAGACGAATAGGCAATGGCAACGGCTGCGGTGTCATGTTAGTGTGTGTTTACGCGGCCCTTGCGCTGCTATCACTAGCGGTAGTGGGCGAGTGCCCGAGTGCGTTCTCCGCTGACTTTGCGGCGATGCGAGCGCAGCAGAAGGCGCAGGACAAAGACAAAAGGCGCTAGAACCGTCGACACGAGACGGACGAGGAGGGCCTCCCGTAGCGGTTGTAGCCTATCCGCCATGACTTTCGGGTTGGCGACGGTCGATGGGCGACGGACGAGAGGGAAGTTGTGGTGGTGCGACTGCTCCTTCGTGGGGCCGTTTGCAACGCCAGTGAGCTCGTGGGCAGGACGTCGATAGTGAGATCATAAGCTCACGGGGTAGTCGCACTCGGCGCGCTGACACGTCCGTTCCATCGGATACGAAGCAGAGGGGAGAACAGGCTCAGTGAAGACGGTCAGCGAGAGTCGATCGACAAGATGGTATGAGGTAAAGCCAGTCGCAGATAAGATCGGCAAAGAGAGAGGAAGAGCGAGAGAGAGAGGAAGAGCGAGAGCAAGAGCGAGAGAGAGAGGAAGAGCGAGCGAGGAAGAGGTCTGTACGATTGATTTTCCTCCCTGTCGGTCGCCACGATCCTCCACTGCATTCCATCACTTTCGCGTTCCAACGGGATGACGTGCTGCTGGTCGTGGCCTGACCCTGCCGCGACCCTTTCATTGCTGCCCATGTCCATCTCTCGAGTTGTCGTCGTAAGAGTGTACATGAGCCTGATGGCGCTCCTTCCTCCGTTACCGTCGCCTACAAGAGCGAGAGAGCGACCTCATAGTCTCCAACGTCTGCTCTTGCGGTGTTGACCCATTCGAGGCTATCGAAGTCAGACTCACGAGCTCTGTAATGCTCTGCTGCTTTCTTCCTGCGTCGTTTGACCCGGTAGAGTTGATCATAGCCATGGAGGGACCGACGCCTTCGCCTGTTCACACTTGTGCAAGAGCGCCGGATTGAACCTGTGCCGAGTGGACTGCGTACTGGTGAAGCGACACCACAAGCATTGCTGTTCAAGGTCCCAAAGCTGTTGTTGTTCTGCCCATGACAGAAGCTCAATGCCACCGGTGCTGCGACTAACACTGCCAACGACAGAAAAATGGCGTCGGGAAGTCGTCAAATGTGCTCGACGTGAGTTGCAAGCCAAGTTCCGTGTACGCGCAGCTCCGTTTGCATTCGTGAGCTCCCCTGTCCACAAAGCGTCTCCCACGTTATTCCTGCAGGCCTGGCAGACGTCTCGTTAGACCACGTTGCTGCCGATGATCTGGAAACCATCTTGACTCGCCCACGCAGGTGTGCTACCGGCCAGTAGGAGGCGAAGCACAGAGTGCACAGAGAAATCCTTGCTGAGTGACACTGCCTGGTAGCTCAGCTTCCAGCTCCCGGAGCTCCTCGCGAACTATACACCGGGCTGTGGCATCCTCTTCGATACGATACCTCATCGTGGCAACAAGCGCTTGACAAAATCCAACCTGTTGTAGCGCCAAAGCCAAACATCACGTCCTGCAACTCGATCACATGCGCTTGCTTTGCGAAAGACGAGCAAATGGGTCCCTACCAACTCAGCATATCCACGACCTCGTTGCTTGGCTGTCCCCAAGGCGGTTATCATCATCATCATCATCGTTATCATCGCTCGCTTGAGCACCTGTCTCTTCTGGACGAACGAGCGCGTGGGCCCTACATGAAGCAATAATTGCTGTCGGTCTACTTGTCATTCACTCGGCCTGTGCGCGGTCGCTAAAGGCGCAGTACACCGCACGGCTTAGTCTCTACCCATTCACTGCAGCATGTGTTGCGAAGCGCTGCTTGGTGGAAGAATGCGTGGGTTGCACAACGGCTGCTGTCGATACCCTATACGTCTCCTGCGTGGATAGCTGTAGACAGTCTGCCGCAGTTACGCGCTGCACGCACGCAGACGTGTATGCTCGAGGTAGGTGCTTCGACCTCCAGACAGTCAGGCATCTGCTTCCGTCACGGCATTGATCACGTACGAAACGCTGTAACTCGATAGCGTTTCCACTTGCGTAAAGTCGCGATCGACAAACAACCGGCTTGTCCGGTGAGGAACGTCTTGCCATGCGTTGTAGAGTCTGGTCGGATAAGCCGACGATGGTTCAGTCCAAGTGGCTGGCGGATTGGCAAGTGCAAGCAGATGCCCGTCAGCATTCAGATGCCGTCATCGTAGCCGCTATCGTCTAGGCGTTCCATCCGCCCGGACTATTCCACCCGACCTGGAGGATGCCCCAATGGCGGGAACAACAACAAACTGCTGCACGACGCGAGAACTGAGCTACACGAGCATCGACGTGTTCGTTCCGACGCCAGCTTATACTAGATCGAGCTGGGCTCGAGACCTCCTGGTCCAGCAGGTCGGTCGGTTTCGTGCAGCAGGGCCCTGGACTCCCCACCTGTCCAGCCATGTCCGGATTATGCTTAGAGTAGATGGCAGCAACATTCGCTTCCGCAGTGACTAGTAGCACCAGTACTGCTGCCATTGAAACCATCAGCACGATGTCAAGGACTCCCAAAGCACAGGCTCACGTGCGTGTTGTCGCCATGGCGACTCGCTCGTCTTTACAGCGCAACTGGATCATGGCATGCCACCTCTCCCGATCCTAGAGATGCGTACTACCGGTTGGGCACATATGCCTACAGGTTCCACGATGCAGCGAGTGTTATCTCGCATGATATCCGCCGTCCGCGCTTTTTTGCTGCCACGCAGGAGCACTACAGGACTGAGTGCGTTGTCATGATGGCTCGCATCCAGCGACTGCTAGCGCCCAACATGTACGCGTACTGACGTCAGACAACACACTTGGCCAAATCGACACGTCGTCGTAAGTGACATCGACAGTGCTGTGTGTTCTTCATGTTCCCATCAACGACCTCTCGGCGTATCGACCGTACCGTAAATGCGTTCGCGCAACGCGTGCGACTTGCGCTCGCTTGCTCCATACCCTGAGTCGGTGCTGCGTCGAAAGGATTTGACAAGTGCCTTCGCAGATTCGCGTTGGCGCCGTCTTTTCCAGCTCACGCACCGCGAGGAAAGTGTAGCAGAGACCCGACCTACCAGCCCAACCAAAGCTCAGGTGCTCCACGAGACTTGTAAAGCTGAGTTCGTCGTCCCTCGACTTATTGCCTCGACCTCTACAGACGTCTCAGCTTCAAACTCGGGTCCTCGAGTCGCTCGACACCTTCCGGGAAAACGTCGTTGACAACCGCTCGAGTGTCTGCCGACTCGGACTGACGCCAGCTGCGACTACCGAAAGCTGTGCGATAAAGCAAAAGGCGCTCGAACACGTCTCTTCTCGATGGCAAAGCGCCTATGCACTGCTCACTGCCGAACCGTTTGCCGAAAAAAATTGGTGCGAGCGAAAAAGTGGCGTAGTAGCGCCGCGCGGTCGTGAGACGTTCGTTGAACGAAGAGCGCTGGAGACACTGCGCGATGAGACTCGCGAGCGTTCGGTCCTCCAAAGCACTGGGGAGAGCGAGTGACGTGCCCATCGCCGGTCTCCTCTGGCCCAGTGGACCCTTTGCCAATGTAACAACCGGTTGGCTCTCCTTATCCACAATCTGCTGGCCCGCGTCGCCACGTTGATCACGTATTGCACACGCCCCGTGTTTGTGGAGCCCCCGTTCCTAATGCACGCGACCCCACGCTCTCTTTTTAGTGCGCAGCTCGTGGCAGTCAGTTCCTCAGTCCCCCCGTTCCTCGTGCGCACTTGTTGTTTTGCGCGGCATTCCAGCAGCAGCAGCAGCACCATCGCCACTTTGCAAGTGACTCGAGTGTCTCTCCTTTCGGACGTTGCCACGTCCATGCGCACATGGTCGCTCGCAACGCGCTAAGAGCTGTGGTTTTTGCTGCCTTGGCCATGGGCGTCTCGATTCTGGACGCTCGGGTCGTGTCCCGGAAGCTCGTCGAGATGCGGTCGACGAGCACGACCTCTGCCTCACTGCCCACGTCGAGGGAATCGACGAAACCAAAGTCGTTTGCGCTTGCAGACTTGGACACCCTCGGAACCAACGACGACGACGGCGACGACGACAACGACAACGACGGCGACGACGGCGAGGACCACACGAGAAACAGTGGTGCTGCTCCGAAGAAAGGTGCGAAAGAAGCGGTCGCGCTTTCGCGCAGAGACGACAAAGCAAAGACGAACGCGTCAGCTGGTACCAACTCTGGAACAGCAACGAGAGACGTGTTTTCCCGAAGGAAGGGAGAAAGCACGAGCTCTGGTGCTTCGTCACGTGACGAGACCGAGGTCGGCACGACTAGTAAGACTGGGAACCGATCAGCTGCATCCGAGGAGAAGGAGACGGAGAAGAAGAGGGACAGTCGCAGTCGCGACCCGTTCTCTCGCGAGGTCGATTTGTCTCCGGAAGACGGCGATGCGACTCGAAAAGATGCACCGCACAAGCGCAGCAAGAAAAACAACGACGACGGAGACGACGACGGAGACGATGATGACGACGACGACGACAAAGATGCTTCTTACCGCCTTCCAAAGTCTCAGCGGGAGGCACAGGCCGAAGCTCGCCACAAGGCACAAGCCGAGCGTCGGGCCAAGCGAGAGGCGCAGAAGAAAGTGTGGCGGAAGATTAAGGAGCAGGAGAGGGCGGAGCGTGAAGCCGCCAAGGCGAGAGCGAGGTCGGACACTAGCGCGATTCAGGCAGCGGCGGGCGGCAAGCGGAACTCGACGGCGACGAAAGAGCAGCAGAAGTAGCGGTCGCGATGCCAGTGGGCGACGAGTGCATCGACAAGTGCGTAAGTGTAGTGGCGATTCATGTTGGGTTGTAGACAAACTAAGTATGAGCGTAACGCGAGTGACTCGCATGTTCGTTCCCTCGAGCGGTTCTGCCGAGTGAATACCACAAAGGGGTCCGTCCAGCGCTCGGGGAACGACCACAAGCGGCTGCACACTGCGGTTCGACCTCGTCGTCCCTGAAGACCACCAGGTCCGTCTAGTAGCCGATCAACACGCCGTCTTGTCGTCCGCTCGTTGGCATTCCCAAACCAAAGCCGCCCTGGACGTACGCGCCGCTTGGACCGAAGGATTCCACTGGTCGTGCATCATCCAATGAGTCTGAACCGCAACAACACTTTGTCAGAGAGTTTCATACCAGCGCATCATCATCCGCGACCACTTGCAAGGGCACGACTTACACGCGGCATGTGCCATGTCTTGTTACGTCAACGATACTGAAATCGACGAGTTGCTGTCAAGTTGCCCTGCACGCGATCGCCGTCGCCAGGGGCTTCGTTCAATCAGTTGCTCAGGTCGACTTGCGGCCCTTTTCGGTCGTTCTGTGTTGGATCTGGTTGAGAATCTGAAGAGACCGCCGCGACGCGCCTGCACCAGCCGACGGTGGTGTCTTTTTCTTTTGCTTGATCAATGCGGGGTGAGCGATTGGCGTCAGCGCTTGCGCAACCGTTCGCTGAACTGCTACCGATCGTGTTTTCAACCAGTTCACAGGCTTGTTTGGACATGGAGCATTTGCTTCGATGTAGCTCCTAGAAGGCGGCACTCTCGACTTCGGTCCCAAAAGACGGTGGCTAGAGCCCGTCGGGGTATCGCGCTTGTGTGCTCTCGAGGTGCCGGATGTCGCGCTTTTGTGACGCATGCCATCAGCAACGGGCGACATGAAAGTTGCGTCCGTGCTGCCTGTCGGTTTGAGCGGAAACAGGCCATTCTCGGCCGTGTCAAAGTGCTCCAGATCGTCCAGATGCTCATAGATTTGACGGAACGTCGGACGCACCCCCCAAGCTGTGCAGCGCATGAACAACCCCAAGTACGGGCCAAGCCGAGCCTTTGCGGCGTCAGGCACCTGCATCACGATGACGTCTTGCAGCAGCTTGTGCAAGCTACGCGTCTCCACACACTCTTTCGGGACAATCTCTCCAACCAACAGCCGGTACAAGATCTCTCGCCCAAACGCACCAACATCGCAATTCTTGTGAAAGCTGAACGAGCTGTCTAGTACCTTGGGCTCGTCCGACGGAAGCTTGATACGACCGAAGTCGGAAAGCTTGATGTCGGGCTCCCAACTCTGCTCATATCCTTCTGGAGGCGTGCGCATGAGAATGTTCCGACAAGCCAAATCGCCGTGAGCGACGTTTATATCTTCATGGAGAGTAATCATAGGCAAACAAATTTGCTTGAGCATCGCCTTCGTGTCATCAAACGACAACGTATATCGACGGTGCTTCGACCCGCCCGAGTTCACGCCATATCGTCGTAAATAATCGCTCAGCTTGCAGTCCATCACCTCTAGCGCGATGCAAGTGTGCTCGATGGCATCACACAAACCAAGACATCGTAAAAAGCCCTTCATATGACGCACTCGGCGTAAATAGTGCAGCTCGAGTGCTGCGCGGTGTTTCGCTTCGCGCTCAGGAAACCCATCATGCGGCTTGGCGCGCTTCAGTGCGATCTTCTGCCCGTTGATCACAGCAGCTGTGACCTTCCCGTCGGTTCCTTCACCGTACACTCCACCTGTGTACTCTACGTCCGTCTCGCAATTAAATAAGCCAACGTCTCCAATCACTGAAGTGCTTGTGAACGCACTGGACGACATGCTCGCGTCAGCTAATGTCGTGTCTGCTTCGATCTGAAACGCGTTGCTTGCACAGCTTTCTTGCGACAAAGGTGTGAGCGCGTCGGCAATGACTCGTGCAGACTCTTGAGAGAGGCCCGCCTCATCTTGTGAGTGTACGAGCATTGCATCCTCGTCTTCCGTAGTGCGACCGTGCTTGCCGGCCGCAACTGTCTGTACCGCTTCTTCCTTTACGACAGCATTAGCTACAAGGCTAGGACCAGGAGCCAATGTCTCTGCCAACGGCATACCCGTCTCTTCCCTTCGATCGTCTTCAATCGGCTTGTAGTCAATCTCTTCCGTTCGGCTGAACGAAGGTGAGCACGACACTGCAGCACAGGGACTTTGGAACACCGGTCGTTGCGACAACGGGCTCGTGAACGTCGCCATCTGCCGTCGCACAGGACTCTGGAACGTCATGGGCCGTCGAGCCAGTGGACTCGTAAAACTCATCGAACGTCGTGTCTGAGATGCTGCTGCTGGTGCAGGAGACGAGGTCCACAAGAGCGCAGGCGACTTCACCGGCGTTGGCGCCTCCAGCCGCTGCTGCAGCTTTTCATTGGTCTTAATGTTCTTTGCCAGTTTCTTCAGCGCCAGCGCTTCGTCTGCTTCCCGTGGCGAGCAGTCGGGCGAGAACGAGATCATGCGCTTGCGCGTCGACGCCGACGAACTGCTCTGTGCGATCCCTCGAGCCACCTGCTTTGTCTTCTGTATCGACCTGGCGACAGTAGCTGCGCTCTTGTCCCGCGCGGGGTCCATTGCCGCCATGTGGCAATCGATCGTCGGCCTCGTTGGGCTCTCAACGGGCGACTGCATCGACGCGCGCCAGTCGGGCGACAGCGACGCAGCCGCGTCGTCCAATTCTGCCGGTTCTTGTGTCCGCACGCCGTCACGTGTACGACCGCCGTCGTCCACTTCCTCGAGCGCGACCGGGTCCAGTGCTGTCGGCCGCTCTGTTGCTGCGCTCGCCGGCATCGGCGACCGCTGCCACGCGACGACAGCCGTCTCGTCTGCTCCCTCGTGCAGTTCCGTCTCTGTACACGTACCTGCTGCCCTTCGTATGGCTTGGAACGCGCTCATTTCGTGCAGCTGCTCGCGCTTCTTGCGGCGCAGATAGCGGTCGTTCGACGCGCTCCACGCGGCCGCAGCCGTCGTGAGGACGTGGGCAGCGTCTGCTATGGACTGTGCAGCGCGAGGCGGCGACTGCACGCGCGGGCGTTTGTCCGCGGGCGCCTGTGCGCGGGAGCGGCCGCGCGACGTCTTGGGCGGCATCCGAGCGGACGGAAATCTGACGGTCAAGTGGTCGGTCGGACAATCGGTCGGTCGGACAACTGGTCGGTCGAGTCAAACGCGTTGGACAGTTAGTTGTATACGCGTGCGAGGGGTGAGGTTTTTTAGAAGCATCGGTAGTGGATCGGAGGTGGGACGCCGCGTTGGGGCACGCTATTTTGCGAGATGGACGGTGCCTGCTGCTGCTCTATCGATGCCGTGATCGATGGAGCCCTATCGATTTTTCATCGATGTATGTAGAAAGCACTCGTGGTGTCTGGTTGTCGTCGGTCGATACTAAAAAGCGCGACGGAGTGTTCCCGTTGTGTCGAGGCCTCGCTAGTGTATGCTAAGATTGACGACGATGGCATCCGTTGCCAAGTACTTGGCCAAGTACTTGGCAGATTCCGACAGCAGCAAACACTGATATCACTTTGCTGAACAAACAAGCTGCTGGTTTCGATGTCTTCATTGCCAACTCGAACAACACACTGGGCCAGCTGCAGGCGTCGAAAGAAAGTCAAGCTGAAACGCTACACTCACATGCATTTGTGCTTTGTCCTAAGATACCGGCGCTGATCGTCTTTTTAGTTCTTCGAGCGTAAGCAGAGAAGCGTCAATGCTTTGACCTTGCTGGTCCTTGGCCTTGGATTCTCCTGGCGCTAATTTGCCGTCACAAACGCACCTTTCTGCCTTTGTAGGGTCAACTATCCGGCCAAACACTGTGTTGCAAGACCAAGCTCGTGATAAAATGTGACGATTGCAAAACAATGTCCGAGGAATGCGCTTCCCGCTGGCGCCACGCGATTACCATCAGGAATACATCGTAAAAGTATTAAGATAAACATCGAAGCCGAAAGCTATCTATGCGTCGTCGTTGAGTAAGCGAATGCCTCAACATCCAACAGCCCCGTTGCAACCCGCTTTCTACTTATCTATCTCTATCTCTAATTGTCGCCATCTGTTTTCACATCCCTATCTATGTATGTATCTATCTATCTATCCATCTACCTCTTTCTATCTTTATCTTCACATATCGCCATCTATCGCTATCTCTATCTCTATCTCTATCTCTATCGCTACCGGTTTACCCACATCTCCTTCTCCTGACGGTCCAAATGGAGACTGCCAACCACGAGACGCTGTCGTTCAGCGCGCACGCGTTCAAGAAGCTGTTCCCAGCAGAGTATGCGCGCAAGTGTCTCGACAGCAACGTGCGGGTCGACGGACGCGCCATTGGGGCCACGCGCGCTCTGCAGCTGCAGACGAACGTGATCCAGACGGCCGCCAGCTCCAGTCTCGTCAAGCTCGGCAAGACGTCCGTACTGACGGCCATTAAACTCGCAGTGGGCACTCCCGCCGTCGCTACGCCTGACCAGGGAGAAGTTGGTGTGTGGTACATCAATCAGTGGCTGTAAACCCCTATTGATAGGGTATCATCTAACCCGCTTTTTGTTTTTTGGGATGTGTGTGTGTGTAGCCATTCAGGTGCATCTGTCGCCCATGTGCTCGAACCGGTTCTCGGTCGGTCGACCGTCGGAAGAGGCTCAGAGCATCGGTAGTCAGCTCACGCGGATCGTCGTTGGGTGCGTTGATGCAGCAGGTCTTGATGACTGCAGTGTGTGGAGACAGAGGCCTTTGCTAACGATGTCGCTGCTGCAGCTCGCGCGTCGTGGAGATGGAGGACCTGAGCATTGTCAAGGGTCAGTCAGCCTGGAAACTCATGGTAGATGTGTTCTGTATCGACCACGACGGCAACGTTCTCGACGCTGCGCTCACGTCGATTGTGGCGGCGCTCAAGACGCTGAAGCTGCCGGCCACATCGATCAACGAAGACGATCATGTCGTCTCTATCGTGCCAGGTACGTACGTCACTGTCAGTAGCGTGCTGGACTCAATGGCGACGGAAGGACGCTCATGTTTGTGCCTATTCCTCTCTGTGTGTTTGTGTGTCTATGTGACGTCCATCAGAGGGAGACGCCATGCCACTGCGTGTACAGTTTGGTGCGTACGCGACGTCGTTCGCGTTCGTGGACAAGACGGTCCTGATCGATCCCACGAGCGAAGAGGAAGATCTCTCCAGTGCCGTGTTGAGCATCGCATACACGACCGCGGGACAGCTCTGTAGCGTGCAGAAAGCTGGCGGTACGATCGTCGCAGCCACTGTGATGCAGCGCTGCATGCAGTTCGCAAAGCAAAACGCCAATGCAGTGGCTACGCTCGTGGACGCGTCAACGTAGCAGAGTGAAAATAGAACTAGTCGCGATCCCCTCTTTCAGTGAATAACCCTCTCGCAATCGTTTGCATCGTTTCGAGATCGGGCATCGACGAGACCCGAGCCATCGACTCTAGAACCGAATGCCTCTCGAATCGGATCGCCCACAGAGCCGCCGCGGGTCTGATTATCATCGCAGGGTCGTTCGTTGTCACTCGCAAAAAAGATCCCAACCCGAAACAGAGGGCAACAACAGGTGTAGCAGTGCTTCCGACCTGAACAGCTCACTTGAAGCTGCAGGCAAACGCGCTCGGAACAACAGGTTCTCGATCCTTTACGATCATTGCCATACAAATTGACAAAGTGACTGCGTGACCCGTTTAGCGCCTTCTTATGGTGGTCAACGAGCACACGGCGCTATGGCCGTCGTCCACCATCTCCTCCATAGACGCAGAGCTGGCCCAGACGGCCAGACACGAAGGCCACACGGACCTCTTTGCTGCACGACCGACGCGGCACGTGATCCGCACGTTGACTGCTGCTGGTGTTCTATTGGCCATTGCCATCTCGTTCATGCATGGCTCGACGCTGTTCACGGCGGTGCAGGGGGCAGCAGACGGGGTGCAGCTGGCAGCGACAGTCGATGAAAGCAGTGTATTTGAAGATGCGGTGCTGTTTCTACCGGGCTTTGGAGCACCGTTAGAGAAACAGGTGCGTCTTTAGCGGTCGAAATGGACTGGAGGCAGTTCTTTCTCGTGCCACTGCGTGTCTTTTGTAGCTGCTGGCGCTGTCTCCGTGCCATTTGTGGCCGTTCGTGCTTGCTGACCTCATGGGTGATGCTGTCGTTGGTCGTGGCTTGGTTGTCTGTGGTGTGTGGAAACAGTATGCCGGGTTGGTCGGCGTCAACAGCACGTACGCGGGCAAGTTGTTCTACTGGTTCTTCGAGACACGTGCGTCCATGCAGGTTGATGAGCGAACGCCTTTGGTCCTGTGGCTCAATGGAGGACCTGGTGCATCGTCGATGACTGGCTTGCTTGCGGAAATGGGACCTTATCGTCTTACGAAGGAACGGAAGCTGATCCCGCATAAGTACTCGTGGACGAACGTTGGCCACATGCTCTTCTTTGACCAACCAGTAGGCACAGGCTACTCGTCTGTGCGCGACGAGGCCGGGCATGTGAATACGCAGGAGGAGGTATCGCAACAACTCTACCGAGGACTCCAAGCGTTTTACAAGCGTCACCCGGAGTACAAGCACAACCCGTTGTATGTATGCGGAGAATCGTACGCCGGTAAATATGCTCCGTCGATCTCGCACTACATCCACGTAAAGAATAGCGGCGTACTGGATGATGACGACGTTGAGATCAATCTGACGGGGGTCGCCATTGGCAATGGTGACATGTGGCCTGTGTTGCAGACTCGCTCTGTGCCGGACTTTGCGATCGCGCTGGGGTTGATCGATTCGCAGCAGTACGAAGACGCGAATGCACAAATCAGCATATGCGAGGAACTGCACCGACAAGGTCGCGACGTGGATGCCTTTCGGGTATGCCAAGCTGTCACGGAGAAGATTTATGAGGCCGCGGGGAACCCGTATATTTATGACATCCGTCAGTCAGGCAATGCATTCACGGACCTGAGCGCAGTGCTGTCTAGTTTCTTCAACGACGACGCCGTGCGTCGAGCACTGAACGTGCCCCCGGGCACACTATGGAACTCAGTGGACGGGTCTGCCTACGGCACATCACCATCGGCACCGGCCCTTGCGCGTCATTTGCTGCAGGACGAGATGCTAGACGTGCCCATCGATGTGTTTCGTGACCTGCTGGACAACTACAAGTTCCTCTTCTACGCTGGGAACATGGACGGCTCGGTTTGCAACAACTTAGGCGTAGGGCGCATCATCGATCGACTCGCGTGGAAGGACACGGCCAAATATCGCGTGGCCAAGCGGCAGCCCTGGAGCGTGGACAGCCGCGTCGCAGGGCTAGTCAAGGCTGCTGGGAACATGAGCTTCGTCGTTGTACTGAACTCGGGGCACCTCGTGCCTACAGACCAGCCGGAAGCTGCATTGGATATGATGCGGCGGTTCATCAACAACGAGCCCTTCTGCACGCCGTTGCAATAGGTCGGTTTGACCCGGAGCGCACGACACCTTCAACGATAGCAGCAGCAGCAGCAGCAGGACGTTGTCCAGAGACACGCAACAAACACCCCGCACGTATAACTCAAGACGAGCCGACCCATCCATTTACTAGACATGCACACGCTGTTGAGTCTGTACGAGTAGCAGCAGCCGAAACAGAAGCGACAAGCGCGAGCAGCTCACTATGGAGGACGATGAGATGTGATGACGATCGATGGTCCTCACCTCTCTCTCTCTCTCTCGTTTATTCGTTCCTTGCTAGACAACGACCATCCACTCTCGAATCGAGTGCGACGTGACCAGTTTGTTCACAACGTACGGGTCGTTCGCCACAAACGCGTCAATAACGGCCGTGTCCGCCACGTTAAAGACAAAGACGCCAGCGTCCAGAGGCTTCACGAGCGCGCCGCCCATCACGACGTGGCCGTCCTGTTTGGCTTTGCCCGCACGTTCCAAGTGCTCGGCGCGAAACGGTCCTCGACGGTCCGCCATGTCGTCCACGTACGCGTACTGCAGAATGTAATACTTTGGCTCCGCGGCAGCGGTCGAGCGAGCGGCGCGGGACAGCGCACGCGATGCGCGGGGGGCGACGCGATGCACGTGCTGGACCAACGTCATGGCTGGCGGATCGCTTGGAATCTGGTGTGCCGTACACCAGTCGAGATAAATTACTTGCGTCATTTATAGGAGACGACACCACTGCGTTGACAAATGACGGAAGCGCTGCGTCTATACCGCGCCATCTACCGCGTACGTAACGCACATCGCCTCGTCTGTCCTTTACGATGCACATAGTGTGGCTCATGAGCGAACCATACGACTTGTGGTTGTGGTACGGGCTGTTGTTTGTTTGTTTGTTTGTTCGGCAGGCCGCAGCGAAGATGCCGACACGCGACCGCATTAACTACGTGCGGCGTCGTTTGCGCCACGAATATGACGTCGCGCGGGAGGAGACGGACCCCGAGCGACTGATGTTCGTGACTGCAAAGACAGTCGAAGACGTTGGGTGGTCATCACCAGTTTGTGGCGCCGATCGCTGATGGATACTGCTGATGCGTGCGCAGGTTCTTGCTGCGTGTCGCGGAGACGCAGCTGGAGACGGTCGAAGTGCAGGCGGAGCACCTGAACGCGACGTTTGCCAGTCCAGATTACCACCGCGCGTAGATCAGCACATTTTTGGCTGTACCGTAGCTGACTACGATTCCATGCGACTCCTGGGTGCAGGAGCAAGATGGCACATGGGGGGGCGAATGTTGTCGTGCCTCGGTCTCACTACATCTCGAGACACGACTTTTGCGCTCGCCCATGGCCGAGTCGACGTGCGCCGACATTGTCTACTCGTCCACATGATGTTGAGGTAGATCTGTCATTACGGAAAGATTGGGCAGTGTGCGAGGGGTACCCAGTTGTTGACTTGTTCTACCTGGAAATACAGACAGCTTACGTCCACTTGATCACGAGACACAAGATTGCTTGTTCAGTAGCTTTGAAGTGGCCACCCGCATGACGCACGCGCAGTGCGCATATGCGGGAACGCATGTACACATCAGATGGAGTTTGCCATGACCAGGGATATGCTCTGTTTTGTTGTGACTTGATGGCGAGTCAAGTTTATCCGTGATCAGGTCCACTTCCACTACGACTTGCCGTACAGTCGTGTTGAACATCGACACAACTGTGGTCCATCCATTGCTCGGCGCAAGAGAGGCAATGCCTTACAGTCCAACACTTTGACAGACACTTTTACGTGCGTGATACTGCTAGCACCTCATTGACTTCTTCTGTTGTCAGGTCACGCAAGACAATGACACAACTGTGGCACATTTGACGAGAGGCAGTCGAATCGTACGTGGCAAAAGCGTAACAACATTGCGGAATCCGACAGCGACTACACATCGCCCAACGGATGCAAATAGTCGAAGCAGGAAGTGTCGTATTACGACTGTAGCGACAATGGTCGGCCTTTCGATAGTGCACTGCACGAACGATCGATTCCGCAAGTTCAAACGCAGGAAGACGAGAACTCACACGCGACATCTGAGAGCAAACAGTCACCGAACTGTCGTGTACGACGAAGACCTGACATGAAATGGTATCAAGCTGGACAATCTCGTAGCAGAGCTGCTGGGCTCAGATTGTGTGATGGTGTCGAGGACGGTCACGAAGACCGCTCGCTGCTCGATCTTGCTCACCAGATCGATCGTTTGACAAGCAAATTGCCAAGGGTATGCCAGCTCGCCCGACCTTTGTCTCCTAGCCGCGAAGCCACTCGTCGTATGTCCGCGTATGCGAGACAGCGGTGCTTTCTCGTTGACTGCCGTAAGCACCGTGCAACAAAGTCGTCATACTGAGCAACGGCGAGCCCTTCGGCAACAGGTAGAGCATCTACGTCGATCAGCGCAAAGTAGCGCTCATTGATCGCGCGCGTCACTATGCGAGTAGACGCACTGCCTGCTCTCGAAAGGGACACACTGCACCCCCTCAGGGTACACGAACAAGAGAGAGACTGAAACATACTATTTATCAAGACCCGACCTCGAAATAACTGCACCTCATGTAGTAGTGCACTGAGACCGATACCACAGCGATGGCGCTCTCGACGTCGACTAGAAGCTGCTGTACGATCGTCCCTCGCAGCGGCGTAAGTAGATATCTTTGCATCTCACCACAATTCGAAGAGCGTCCGAATTGCTGATCAACCCGACCGTTTAGAGATGGTGCAATGCGTCGGAAGCCGTTCCAGGCTCAAACAGTTTGATGATGTGCATGTCGGAAGCCCGTGCTGGTCAGACACGTGCTAATGTCATAACGTAGGCGTGCAACATCGCCAGTATGTTTGCCACATGCGATGACGATATGATGGATGATGAGCGAACACGCGAGCGAGCGAGCGGTCCATCGCCGATATGACGACTCGAGCTGATGCCAGAACTCGACCAAGCAAAAGCGCTGGAGCGCTATGTACGTACATCGCCTCGACTCTTGCTACGTATCTTTGTGTCGTTTCAAAACCAGGTAGGTGCGCAAAACCTCAAGCAATATACGATCCAACAACACACTCTAGGATTGCGCGCGCCCCCTCTTGTCGAATAACTGCCGTCCCCATCCACTCACCCGATCTTGCGGCATCAAAACACGGCAGCTGTTTCGTTGCCATTGCTCACCAATCCAAAAACTATCCAGATATTCTCCGCCGCTTCCGCTTGCCGGACGTCATTCCGCATTCCGCACTCCAGAGCAACAGCACAGACTGCACAAAAGCGCTCGGACCGCACCCCCTCGTACACGAGCGCGTTGTGCCCTCGCCATGAGCGGATCAGCAGACAATGTACAGTCACAGCTCTCCCCCTCTATTGCCGCTGACCGTCTCGTTCCTCACTCACTCTCTCTCTCTCACTCTCTCTCTTATTGGATCCTTTGGTCATTTGTAATCCAACTGTAGGCCCACCAACTGCCGTCCACCGGCAAGAAAAAAGCGGCTGCGCCCCGCAAGAAGACAAAGACGACGGCCGCTGCTGGCAAAGTAACAGCAGGGGCTAAGAAGACAGCGACGACGACGACGAAGAAGAAGGCGCTAGCCAAGGGAAAGCCGAAAGCAAACGCTCTCGAGAGCAGCGACGCCGAGTCGGACCCTGCGAGCGACGACGGCGGGTCCGTGTACGACGTGGACGCCAGTGGCGACGAAGCTGGTGCTGCGACGGAGGACACTGCGGGCGCTGCAGCCAAGCAGAGCGTTGAGCAGATTTACCAGAAAAAGTCGCAGCTCGAGCACATTTTGCTGCGGCCGGACACGTACGTGGGCTCGATCGAGCCCGTGGAGCAGACCATGTGGGTGTTTGACGACGAGAAGAAGCGGATGGTCATGAAGAAGATTACGTACGTCCCGGGTCTCTACAAGATCTTTGACGAGATCATTGTCAACGCGTGCGACAACAAGCAGCGCGACAAGTCGATGAACACGCTCAAAGTGACGATCGACGACGAGAAGAACGAGATCTCGGTCTGGAACAATGGCAAAGGCATTCCCATTGTGCTGCACAAAGAGCACAAAGTCTACGTGCCGGAACTGATCTTTGGCCACTTGCTCACGGGCAGCAACTTTGACGACAAGAAGAAAAAGACAACGGGTGGACGGAATGGCTACGGCGCGAAACTTGCCAACATTTTCTCGAACGAGTTTGTTGTTGAGACCGCCGACTCGAGTACGAAACAGCGGTATCGACAAGTGTTTGAGAGCAACATGAGCAAGAAGAACCCACCTTCAATCACGAAGTGGGCTCAGAAGGATTTCACGTGCATCTCGTTCAAGCCGGACTTGGAACGGTTCAAACTCAACTTTCTCAATAGCGACATTGTCTCGCTGTTCAAAAAGCGAGTGTACGATGTAGCAGGTGTCTCTGGCAAGGGACTCAACGTCTTCCTCAATGGCGAAAAGATCCCGATCAAATCGTTTCCGCAGTACGTCGCGCTCTACCCGGGACCCCGTGGGTTCGAGGCTGAAAGAGACACCACGAACGAGGGGGAGGACGATGCTCTTCCGGAAGAAGATGGGGCTGGTGATGACGATGAAGAGTACAGTGAAGAAAAGTCGAAAGTGGCAAAGGCCGCCAAAGCCAAGCCGTCAAACATTACACAGAACGGCGTTATATTTGAAAAGCCAGACGAACGTTGGCAGGTCGGGGTAGGCATGAGCGAAGACGGTTTCCAGCAAGTGAGCTTCGTCAACGGCATTTGTACCACAAAGGGTGGTCAGCACGTGAACTACATCGTAGATCAAATTGCAACCAAACTTGTCAGTGTGCTGAAAAAGAAAAACAAGGGGGATGCCGTGAAGCCCAATTACATCAAGAATCACATATTCGTCTATGTGAGCGCGCTCATCGAGAACCCCGCTTTTGACTCTCAGGTACGCACGGCATTGTTGTATTATACTTACAATCATTGACTGACACCACAACTACTGTATGACTCAGACGAAAGAGACACTGACGACAAGAGCCAACGGCTTTGGATCAACATTCAGCTTGAGCGACAAATTCTTGAAGCAAGTGGAAAAGAGTGGACTGGTAGAAAAGATTCTGTCTTTCGCCGCATTCAAGCAGACAGCAGAGCTGCGTCGGAAAGGCGGCAATCATGGAAAACGATCGCGACTGACGGGCATCCCTAAATTAGACGACGCCAATCATGCAGGAACAGCGAAAAGCAAGGACTGCACACTGATTGTGACGGAAGGAGATTCGGCCAAAACTGTTGCTGTTGGTGGCCTTGCTGTCGTTGGCAGAGATTACTACGGTGTGTTCCCGTTGAGGGGTAAGATGTTGAACGTCCGTGAAGCAAGTCATACTCAGATTTTGAAGAACGAAGAGATCCAGAACGTGGTCAAGATCCTCGGTCTCAAGTATGGCCAGACGTATGAGTCCACGAAGGGCTTGCGGTATGGCCACTTGATGATCATGGCAGATCAGGATCACGATGGCAGCCACATTAAGGGTCTCGTGATCAATCTTATTCACCACTTCTGGCCGTCGCTGCTGCTCATAGATGACTTTTTGCAAGAGTTCATCACCCCGATCGTAAAGTGCAGCAAAGGGCGAACGAAGGAGGTATTCTACACGATGCCTGAGTACGAAGGTTGGCGCGAACGGACGAACCAAGGACGTGGCTGGATCATCAAGTACTATAAGGGTTTGGGTACGAGTACGGCAGCTGAGACGAAGGAGTACTTTTCTGATCTACCGACCCACCAGATCGGGTTCATTTACGATGGAGAGGGCGACGCGGACGTAATTGATATGGCGTTCTCGAAGAAGCGTGTCGAAGACCGCAAGGACTGGCTGCGTGGCTACGAACCCGGGACTCACGTCGACTACGACGTTGATGCCATGGGCTACACAGAGTACGTTGCGACGTTCGCCGAAGTTTTGATCGACCATTGTTCTTACACAATCTGTGACGCTGCTCTTCTGACAGGTTCGTCAACAAAGAGCTCATACTGTTCTCCATGGCAGACAACATTCGCTCAATTCCGAGTGTCCTCGATGGGTTCAAGCCCTCACAGCGAAAAGTGCTCTTCTGCTGCTTCAAGCGTAATCTTCGTGTAAGTGTTCTGCTTTCGTTTTTTGTCGCTTTGATTGACGTCTGACGATCAATGTGCCTTGTACATCATAGTCGGAGCTCAAGGTTGCACAATTAGCAGGATACGTATCCGAGCATTCTGCGTACCACCACGGCGAGCAAAGTTTGCAAGGCTGTATCGTGAACATGGCACAGGATTTTGTCGGAAGCAACAACATCCACCTTCTGTCGCCAATCGGTCAGTTTGGTACGCGTTTGATGGGCGGCAAAGATGCCGCAAGTTCTCGTTACATTTTCACCAATTTGGAGCGACTTACCCGAAAAATCTACGACCCTTTGGACAATGATGTGCTCAAGTACTTGGACGAAGACGGTCAATCGATCGAGCCAGAGTGGTACATTCCGATCATCCCCATGGTACTCGTCAACGGCACGGACGGCATCGGAACGGGTTGGTCCAGTTCTGTGCCGACCTACAACCCACTAGACATCATCAAGAGTCTACGAAAGATGATCAACGGAGAAGAAGTCGCTCCTCTCGTTCCGTGGTACCGTGGCTTCACTGGTCACATCGTGGAGAAGACCAACTCGCGTGGAACGGATACCGGCAATTACATTGTCCAGGGCCTGTACGAGATAATAGATGACTCCACGCTCGTGATCTCAGAGCTGCCCGTCAAGATGTGGACCCAAACGTACAAGCAGTTTCTGGAAGGGCTGCTTGAAGCGGGCACGATCAAGGATTTTAAGGAGAATCACACTGACGTGAAGGTGTTGTTTACGATCACGATGGAGCCCAAGACACTAAGCGACATTGCCAAGGCGCCAGGAGGAATTGTGAAGAAGTTTAAGCTTGAGTCATCTTTGTCAACGTCAAACATGCATCTTTTCGACAGAGATGGGCACATCAAGAAGTACGAGAGTCCCAAGGAGATCATGGACGAGTTTTACACCGTCCGCTTGGAGTATTATGACCGCAGGAAGAAGTCGATGCTACAGAAACTACAGGACCAGATCAAACTTCTGTCGAATAAGGCTCGTTTCGTTCTAGCAGTAGTGGAAGGCAATCTGGTCGTGAACAACAGAAAGAAACAAGCGCTGCTCGAAGAATTAGTGGCAGAAGGATACGATCAGATTACGGCAAAGTCAAAGTCGAAGAAGAAAAACGACAGCGACGATCCAAACGAGTCTGAGGAGGAGGATGACAACTTGGCTGATGTCAGCCGAGGCTACGACTACTTGTTGTCGATGAAGATCTGGAGCTTGACGAAGGAACGCGTGGACAAGCTGCGTCGCGAACTTCAGGACTGCGAGAATGAGTACGCTGTCCTGGAAGGCAGAACGGTAGAGAATCTGTGGCTCACAGACCTTGACGCGCTGGAGGAAATGTTGATCGAGACAGAGAAAGAACGGGAAAAGATTTTGGCGCATACGTTCAAGAAAAATGGTGGCAAGAAAGGTAAGAAAGCTGCGACGAAGAAGAGAAGGCGAAAGAACAACGATGACAGCGATGACGAAGACGCCGATGACGACTCTGACTTTGAAGTCGAGGGGGCGAAAAAGCCTCGCACGAAGGCCAAGCCGAAGACTGTAGCAAAGCGGCCAGTCAAGAAGGAGTCCGCCGTGAACAAGGCTGGCGGGGCAAGTAAGGCCAAATCGAACGACAAGGGGCCGCAATCAGGTACCATAACCACGTTTCTCCAATCAAAGGAACCACCAGCAACTGTAAAACGTGAAGAAGAGGTCGAAGAGCTCTCGCTGGCCGAGCGGCTTGCTCGAAGGCTTAAGGCTTCTCCCCAGAAGGTAGCGTCTGCTTCCACATCGACATCGAAGACAAAACGCTCAACCAAGTCTGGCGCGGCAATCGATTTGGCGGAATCCGACGATGACAAGACTGCTCCCGTAGAGTGTGAAGATGACGTCTTTGCCATGGAGTCGGATGATGCAGGAAAGGAGATTGCAGAAAAGTCCACCGCAAAGCCGAAAGCTTCTGCGCGTAAATCAGCTACTGAGAAGAAACCAGCTGCGAAACCGAAGAAGGCCGCGCCGGTCAAGAAGGCTGCGTCCGCCAAAAACAAGTCGAAAAAGTCGCCGCTTGAAGAAGACAGCGAGGATAGTGACGGTGCAGCCGGCAACGACGTAGCTGAGGCTTCGCCAATAGCTCCTCGTCCAAAGCGCGCCGCCCGCGCGCGCAAGCCCGTCGTGTATGACGAAATATCGAGTGACGAGGGCGACGACGAGGATGGAAACAATGACGCGGAAGAGAGTTTCGCACTGGAGGATGCTGACGACAGCGATTTCGAGTAGTTGTGTGTGTGCGTAGCTGACGGTACAGCTGGACAAGTGAAAATTACAATGCCACTGCATCGTGAGCGACTCGAGACACGATAGACCAACTCGTTTTATGTCAACTTCCACTTTCTTTCGCATGTCATTATTGTTGGAGCTGTTCCAGCGACCAAAGCTTCGCTGCGAACGCGTCCGATGGCGGTATGTATCGTCATGAGCGCTTGATAGGAGCGAGCTACCTATAATCACGTTGGCGTTTCCTCCACCTTTACTCAGAATTGCACCTGTCAGACCATAAACATTCGAGAAGTGCCGAGAGCACGCGCGCGCTTATTAGTCAACTCAGCGTCGGCATAGGACTGCAACATGCACGTTTGGCTATAATTCTCAGCCCCGAGTGGCGTTCCGTGGTGGAACATCCGCCAAATGAGCACGACCTCTTCCGCGACACGCCTGCCGTTGGCAGTGCAGCAGCATCTGATACGTCGATGCCAAAGCGGTCGTTGAGAAGAAGCGCGCTGACAAGATCCAAAGACGGTGCATTGATTTACACGACCTCCACGCACTTCACCTGCTAGACCGCATCTTTTTGATGCCATGCACCTTTTTGTTGCCTGCCACGCACCTCCAGCACCGCCCTCGCACTCAGTCACGATTGCCGGAACAACACGTCACTTGTCAGATGTACAACGCTGGAAACCGAGCCGGCGTCTCTCCCTCCGCTAGCTGTGCTTTATCAGGCATGTCCATCGACAAGCGTGCCCACTTGCAATTCTTTGCATTCGCCTTACTCTCCTTCGTCAAGAAGACGGAGTCGTCCGCTAAAGCCAGCAAGTCAGACACACACACTCTCCTGGCTCCTACCGTCGCGTTCAGTGCATCTGACAGCGCCGCGCGCACCGCATTGACAGTCGCTAGCACGTCGACTTTGAGTGCCATCTTGCGAGGAAGAGTTGCGTCTTGAGCCCCCACCTTTACCAGCAAGATTTCTCCTGCTACCGGATCCATGTGCAGCTGAATATTAGCATGGCGTGGAGCAGTGACCAGCAACATAATCGGGTAGTAGCACACGCTGCTTGGGGGCAGCAGTGTGCAGTTGTTGCACCGCATTTTCGTCTCGTCGCCAATGAACAGTCGATCGGCATAAACCGCTAGCAATTTCGCTTCCTTCTCCCCCTTCTTCGGTTCCTTTAGTACTGGGCGAACAGGCAGCGAGAACAGACTGCGGTTGCCAATGGACGCTTTGACGTTGTCTTTTAGCTGCTCCCACTTTAGCCCGCATGAATTGCTACGCGATACACGCAACTTGAACGAAAGGTTATTTCGCTCTGGTTCCGTCCCCAAGCCCATATCCACAGGGAACCCCTCGCCACGAATGTAGTAGACCAGCGACACTGGGAAGCTCATTCTTGATAACGTGTTGGCAGTCACTTCGCTAAAGCAGCTGTCGTTGAGTAAGCCTCCATCGTTATTCTTCGGCGTAATGTACGAGTAGATTGACACAACGTTGTGCGCTTGGGTGATGGCTGCAAGCTCATCCGCCGGCTCGGCGCTGCTGGCGAGTTGACTAAAGAGTACGCTTTTGTTCTCGTCAGAAAGCGAGTGAAAACTTACAGCTTCTTTCTTGTCCACTTTCAGATCCACACGATCAGTGCCGTCCAGATCATCGTCTGCAAACTTGGTCGGCTTCGCTCGGGAGCTCCCGATAAGATGCTCACCGAAGTTTTGTATAATCAAGAAACGCAGGACACGCGCTTCGTTGCGTCTGCTAGCCACAACAGCTCGAGCAAACGTCAGAAGCTTCTTGTCCATCCGCTGAGAACTTGCGTACCCATCCAGCTTGATCAACATCACGACCGTTTCCGAGTCCAACAGCTGGCTGAACTCGTCAGTTTTGTCCTTTGACAGTGCAACTAGACGCGCACACAGATCCGAAATCAAGAAATTCAATGTCTGATACCGTCGAGCAGAAATGGACACCTTAAAGAAAGTGGCATTCAAGTTTTGTTTCTTATTCAACGATTGCTCACTCATTGTCTTCATGTAAAACAACCAAATCGATAGCGGCTCGCTCCACATTCCGTCATCCAACTTCAGCTTCGCTGCCAAGTTCTTCTTCATCTCCTGCAAATAAGTTTGCGCGGACTTCGCGTGGTAGAACGACGGCATCACAAACAGGTCTGGTGCAGCAAGAATTGCCACCAGGACGACAACGTTTAGCAGCAATGGCCACTTCTCATGTCCACTAGAAGTGTCCTGAACCATATAGGCGCCCGTCATGAGAAGTCGGCACAGCTCAAGACTGAGAGGCATGTGGCAAACAAACGAGCCAAACCTCGTCAAACGAGAGTTCTTTTCCTCATCAGAGTCAATGGCATCGAACGAAGACAGCAGCTTGTAGGCTCCACCGATACGAGAAAGGTCCGGGGCATCCAGAGCCTGTTGGAGAAGTGAGCTGGGCACCCCAAACTGGTGAAGCCGTCCCTTCAATTGCAGCACAGTGCGGTCGAGCGGTTTGCGCAATAATTCCGGGGTGTTGTATTCAGCCATACACAGGTCACGGAATGGCTTCGTAAACAGGTGAAAAGATGTGCCAGGCATGACTCTTCCAGCACGCCCCGAGCGTTGCAGTGCAGACGCGCGCGAGCACCAAGTATGCACCAAAACCTCCGCGTGCGATTTCTCTGCATTCGGCATCTCAATCTGCTTCTCAATCGAGCAGTTGATCACATGCGTAACATCCGGGATCGTCACACTACTTTCGGCAATGTTCGTGGACAATATGATCTTAGTTGATCTCTCCCCTAGCAATTTGAATGCTTCCTGCTGGTGCTCCAACTCTATTCCCGAATGTAGCACCAACACCTGAACGTTTTGCTCGCCCATGGCAAGAAAGCTCAGTGACTCGTACAACGTGTCGATGCTTCCGACACCAGGCAAGAATATAAGAAAACATTGTGATCCAGTGCGAGAGCGGTGGGCCTCAATGAGCAAGCGCACCATGACCTCAATCATGGTCAACTGGTATTCGTGGATCTTCGAAATTGCTTTCTTTGCCATTTCACTGTTCGCACTTACACGAGCTTGCGAGAGCAAATGAAACTGGCCTTTCATGTAGGTCATTTCCTTCTGACACCGTCGCGACAGACTGGGAAACCAATCTAATAAGTCGTCCAGGTACACGCTTTTCACAGGAAACAACTTGGAACCAACGAAAAGAGGCTTTCGGTTGACCAAGCGCGTCGAAAGTGATCCGCCCAGATACTTGATCAGAAGCTGCGCATCCATGGTTGCAGACATGATGACGAGGCGGAGATGGGGGTGATCCTTCAGCTGAAGTTTGAGCAGCAACAGTAGCAGGTCGACATCCATACTGCGCTCGTGCACCTCGTCGAGCACTAAGTGTGTCATACTTTTCAGCGCATCTGGGTCATGGATAATCCGCTCCACCATATACCCAGTAGTCACATACGTGATCTTGGTCTCGCTGGAAGTCACTTGTTTCTGCCCGATTCTGTACCCAATCACTTTTCCCACTCGACCATCCTCCCCAAACTCATTCCCCTCTCGCATCCTAGCCACAGTGCCGGCCAGTTCTATCGCAGCAATACGTCGCGGTTGTGTCACATATATATTGACGGGTCGGCCACTGGTACTACGATCTCGGGCCCAAGAGTCGTATAGAAATTGAGGGACCGATGTGCTTTTACCACAACCGGTCTCGCCTTGGATAATCGTCAGCTGGTTTTCAGCCACGTTGTCCAGAATCTCCTTCCGGTGGCCAAACACAGGCAACGTTTTCATCAGCCCCTTCAAACTCGCGGGCTTCTTGACCTGGGACTCTGTTTCTGGCACGTGCCCAGCATTTTCACGCACGGCACTACCCATGCCAAGGCATTTTGCTACAGACGATGGCATTAAACCCTTTATCAGTCGCGAGTTAAAAGGAGGCGCCGAGGCCTGGAGATTTGAGAAAGCCTTGGGTGGCAGAGGTGGAATAAAAGGAGATGCAGGCTGGGCGTCAGCAAATGAGCGGTTGGACGTCGAGGCTGGCACATGCGGCTGAGGCGGCAAGCTTCGCGGCAAAGGTGGTATAAAATCAGCTGGTGGGAGGGGTCGTGCAATCACTGGCAGTACTTTAGAGCTGTCAGCGCTGTTCGGGTCACGCTTTGTCATAGCATTTTCCAGTGCAAGAATTGCGAGGCCCTTGTCGCTCATGGTAGCATGCACACGGTCAGCTGGAAGCGCAATCAATTCTTTCATGCGTCGCATCGTAGTACGAACGGCTGTGTAATGCGTCCAAAACTCATTGCTAGAGATTTCCGTGAAGAGATTCAACACTGGCTTCACCTCATTGAATGAAAACCCTGGTACGCCACTCCGGGTCTTTGCCGTCATTGGGTTGGTGCCGTTGCGCTGCATCAGAACCTGGCATACTTGAATGAACACTTCGCACGAAAAATACGTCGCACAGCCTAGCTTTTTTGGCAGTTTGCTTCCGATCACAAGCCGCAGCTGGTGAAACTGCTTCAGGATTTCGAGGTAGCCGCCGACAACTGCATAGACTTCCATACTCAAGAGATGCTCATCGAACACGACGAGAGCTCGAGCGTCTTCTGAATTTTGCTTGGACATACATATCGCCAATGAGATCAACGATGACAGCAACAACAACTCGAGAAGCCGGTCATCCAGCAAGCTTGCATCAGCCAAATACGTTCTATCTTGTTTCCATAACGCGAGCAGACCATACACGATACTCTTCACTGCAAGTCCCTTTTTGTCCGCCTTTCCCAACGTGCCAGCTAACTGTGCTGCCTTGGGATTTTCTCCATTCGGATCATCGTACAGCAGACAAAATGCCAGAGAGCGAAGGATCTTGTCCACCGCCTTTGCAGAGCGCTGCTGCAATGGAATTGACAGCAAAGGACTGAGGCTGTCCACCGGTTTGACGCGTACCTCCACTGTGCGGTCAAATGTCATTTCTTGCACCACTGGCGCATTCAGCGCGACGTAGGACAGATATCGTGCTGGTGCTTGCAGGTCATCCAGCGACTTACCTTCCAATCCAGGCACCCATGCTAACGGGTCAAACCTCAGACTTAGCCCACGTGATTTTGTTTCCAAAATGTCGATTGCCATCTGGGGATAATCGAAGTGATCAATCAACTTCTTGTATTGTTTCATCTTCTTGATAGGTATAATCGGCTTGATCTTCATCGGAAACTTCTTCAAAAACACTTCCTCGTGTCCGTAAAATCGGTAAATCTCAAACAGCGCCTGCAGAAACCCCTTCTTCTTTGCTTCAATCTGCGCCAAAAAAGGATTCTCCACCGTCGGCAAATGCTCAACAACCCACCTGGCAGCCGTTGCAGGGTACAGCGAGCTCGACGCCTGCAGGCGCTGCACAGGATATCCAAGCGTTTTCGCCATGTCAAAGGCGTCGTCCAGCACCGGTGTGAAGTCATTGCCGCACAGCAGTGCCAAGTCCACCAGCTGTTCCACTTGCAGTCCGAGTGCCTGTGCCACCAGGTCGGACGAAAACACGCGCGCCCGTACTTTCAAGTGCTCTGGACACTGTTCGTCCTCGTAAAACGTGAGCCTGTCAAACGGAATGTACTTGACTCCCGTCATGACCAAAAAGTCCGAGTCTTCCGCCAAGACCGCAAACGCTGCGCCTGTCCGGACCATAGCGCCCAATTCTTCATCAGCTTCTCGACTCGCTGTTGTGATCGGAATGCCGTGGCTCTTCAGCACTCCCCGTAGTTTCTCGCGGGCAAACGGGAAGCGGCCATTCGTCTGCAGCAACGTCTTGGCCAGCAGAGAACCACTACCCGCGCGTGTCAACCTCTGGCTACCATCACTGCAACGAGGAAAACTCCACTCTGGACTGTGGGCCACCTGCTCAATCTGCTCGGCCTTCTGCTGTCGACGGTCCTGCAGGCACAGGCCTTTGCGGTGGCTCTCACCGCCAAAACACTGCGGCGGGTCCGTGACAAACACGAGCCGCACGCGACGCTCCTTCAGTCGCGCAAGCCACGTCTCGACGTATCGCTCCAAGCGCAGCGTGCAGCCGCCAAGCAGCAGCCACGCGGGCGACGCGTCTGTCTCGCGAAAGAGCTCGTCGCAGAGGTAGTAGAGGAAGCCGACAAAGTCCACGGCCAGCGTGACGTCATGGAGGTCCGGCGTCTCGGTCGACGTCTGCGCCTCGCGCTGGCGACAGAAGCGACTGAGTCCGCGCACGCCCATACCAAGTGGTTTCCTTTTGGTCCAACGCGTAATGAGCGAGTGCGGACTGGTCGAAAGGAAAGATGCGCGACTGACCATCACTCACATTGAGGGACAGCTTTCGACTTTCTGCCAATACGAGCACAGAACGAGACCTCGCGCGTTTGGCACGGTATCTTGTCGAAGGCAACAACCAGGATTCGTATCTTATTGGATGAAAACATGCAACTGTTAGTGCTTGCAAAGCGTCGCACGCGACGAGAAAAGAGTGACTGGACGTGACGCCGGTGTGAAGTAGCAGCAGCCATTGAGGACGTAATAAAAGGCTATAATATACGCAGGGTCACGGCATTCGATGAGCGTCATACTGATGCTGAACGTGGGAACAAGCGCATCGGTTGGATTGTTGTTCAGACGTTGTGGTTCCAACAATGTCTGGTGGCGACACACTGAGAGCAACTAGTCAAACTTCGAGCGCAACGGAAGCAAACGGAGGCGTTTTGCCCGTTACACATAGCAATGAAACTCCACATGGGGTTTCGCCTGTTGCACAACAATATATGTCTTGAGCTGTAGTCCATCACGGCCAGTAACGAAGGGGGGGCAGTTGCGTGCAAATGCTTACACAACGATGACCATTTTTGTTCGCCTTAGGCTTTGGCCTCGAGGCACGACAGTCGGCGCTTCACCTTGCCAAGGCGGACACAATTGTCACGCGAAGCCGGACAATTGGAATGTGAAGCAAGGCGCACTCAGAAGCGCATCAAAGCCCTGCTGAAGCAAAGCAGGGGGCTGTAATGTGCTTGTGCTTGTTTGTTACACAGCTTCATGAGCCAACAACATGCAATGAAAAATGCCGAAGCCACTTGACAAAATGATCCGTCCGCTTTGATTAACTAACTGTTCAACAACCACATTCGCTTCATCAAGTACGCACCTCGTGACAACACCCAACACCTTCAGCGGGGTACCTCAAGTAGAACAAATACTGCGGCGGCACGATGGACAACGAGCCACCTCTCCATCCTGCGCAGCATTGCGCATCAGCACGTCCAAGCACGCCTTGTGAAGCTCGTGACCACACCCATCTAGCTTGACCGTCTCGCCGGATGCAAGGTCTTGTCCACAAATCACGCAGTTGCGTTCATGGTCTGGTTTGGCCAGCGCCAGACCCGCTCGAGTGCTCATCGAAGCAGAGATGCTGAAGAACGTCGCCTTCAGCTCGTTGCCCGTGAGGACATGGTGATACGTACCACCCATCTTTGCTGCAACTCGCTCCAGTATGACCAGATTAATGCTACCGAAGCCGACCGCAAACGCCTGGAGTCCGTTCTTCTCGTAGCAGCTTCTGATGTGCACCGCAATCTGTTCGCCCTGAAGGGGATCGCAAGGGTGTCCGTCACTGAAAAACACGACAGTCGGCTTGTACATTTCGAAGTTTATTCGCGAAAGCACCTCTGTCGCAGCTCGAAGCCCCGCAGCATAGTTTGTCCCTCCACCACGATACCTGATGTTAGCGTTAGTCATTGCCGTTATGTTCTGCGCTTCGTAAACAATCTCCGAGCGGCTGTCGAAGGTCACAACCGAGACCAAATCCAGTGTAGCTCCTTCCGCAATGCGGTTGTAGACAAACTCTCTCCATGCAGCTATGAGACCATTCCAAGGCTGACCATTCATCGAGCCTGAGCAATCGAGCACGAACACATGGTGCATCTTTCCACCGCTCGCAACATGCGAGCACTCAAACTTGTGTCCGCTGACGTAGGTAGACCCGGTGAAACCACGTCTCGGGTTGACTTCCGGCTTATGCCACGCAGGAAGGGAGCAGTACGAGGGCTTGTCATCGTGATCCGGCGCATCACACTTGAATCCGCACTTGCCAAATTGCTCGAGTTCCATCTTCGACGTGCATGGATCGTCCCAGCCCAGTGTTTTCCAAAACTGCTCGTGCAAAACTTCGTCCACCTGCTTCTTCGGCGGCGGCTCCAACTTGCGTGTACAGTGCCGACGCTGATCCGAGGTGCTTCCAGTGTACACACACTTTTCCTTGGTTCCCTGCTCGCAATCGAGGTAGTGCACATGCTCACGACCCATTTTGGAACAGTACAAGTTGCACATTTCAGCAATGCCCAGCTCACCAGCCTTGTATTTACGCTCTTCAATATCAATCTCGTTCGCGTCCGAGAGGAAGTACGTGTTGCGCATGTTGCCATGCGACGTCGTATGCGAGTCATGGTGCCCGTACTCTTTGTTGCAAAAGTAACTGCAGCACGGACACCGGACGTCGCAGTAATGGACTGTTTGATCACGCGCGCTTTGTTGATCGTCAACTTTGCCTGGCTCACAGAGGCAAGTGTGGGCGCCTAGATGCATCTTCTGGTTGGGTGCAAGCAGCTTTGTGCATTTCTTGCGCGAGCCGTTCATTTCCTGAAACGTGAACTGAAATTTGCCACGGGACCCCGTGAACGTCTTCGACGACTGTTTGAGAAATACATCCACTCGGCAAATCCCCTTTTCCTCACACATGGCTTGGCACTCGTGCCAATTTCCGCACATGTGTACGACTGGAGCTTCTGCAGATGCATCGAACGTATTCGTGCCTTTCCCGATACCATGTTCCACAGAGTACACCACAGCGACGTCAACCTGCCCGTGAAAATGGTCCATAGTAGCACACAGCTCGTTGCATCCATCGATAATGCACTTTTGCATGCAGCGCTGCTCGACGCACTTGTGAGCGGTATGTAGATCTTCGACGTTCAAGACACATTGGCCACAGCAGTTGCTTGCCGAACACTCTTCACCACAAATGTGAACGAGTACGTCGCACTTGTGCTGCTGCATACTATGACCTCGCTTCAAGGAGCATTTCTTGCCGCAGTTTGGCGAGTTCGCCAATCCGCAGTCTTTACCGCATGTGTGATCCCCACCGGTACATTCGCACTTCCCTTCGTGACCGGCTTCTTTGGAGCAAGGAGGAGTCTTGAACTGCTCGCCGCTATCGCAGTACTCGCAGCGGCCAGCGCAAACGTGGCTCCCTCCACAATTGTGCGAAGAGTTCTCCGAGTGAGCAGCAGCTTTCATGCATCCCAGCCGGCAGTCGTCACATTGGCTCTGACAGCGCCTAAACAGCAGCTGAAACTGGCCCAGATACTGTTGCTCCAGACTTTTCCACTCCTCCGCCACTCGACCTCCGAGCATTTGCGTTACCCAAATGAGAATTCGGGCCTTACGACGACGGACGATAAAAGCTAGGAAAGCGTCGAAGTCGGCGACTATCTCTCTCGACACTTTGCCGCCTTGGATACTCAAGTTGGTTCGCAAGAATAGCCAATACATCTGTTTGATTGCAGCATGAACATGCTCGATCGTTTCTTCGCTGGTCGAGCAAGAGTCGAAGCCGAAATCGATCTCCCTATCGAGTATCGAGTTGAAATCAATACATTCGCTAAGAGCGCGCCACTTGTCACCCGAAGCAGGACACGCTGCCATCATTGCCTCCAGATCGATGTCGATCACTTTCCCACCAGGTAACACAATGTCTTCTTTTAGGTACGGCGCGATATATTCTCTTCTCGCGACGTACTCTTGAGGGATAGTGCATCCCGTTCGGATCAACCCCGGCAGCTTCGAGCTGATTTCCGATAACTGGAACTGCTTTACACCTTCATCGAGCGACGTCCAGTCCAGATTCGCGATTTTGGCGAGAACCAGACGAATGCAGTCCAGAAACGTTTTGCCGCTACGGAAGCCTGCTTTCTCTGAGTTGCACAGAAACTTCTCGATAAAATTCTGAGCGTGCATAAGCGACTGGTAGTAGTCGGTCGTGCCCAGCGTCGGGGAGCAATTGATGTCAAGTTGGCCCGAGTACAAGTCGAGCAGAAAGTTACCGTGCTTGTTCGCGCTCACTAGCTTCTGAAGTTTGCCTCGAAACTCGTCGAGCACACCCTTCTGGTCGTTCGGGTTCACATCTTTCACAGACATATACAGCTTGCCTCGGAAGAGACTCGGATCCCCCTTGATCAACGCCACACCTTTCTGGAAGCGAGCAAACAAATCATCGATCTCCTTATCGAACCGCATTTCCATCCGAAAAATGGTAAACATCGAAATGGAGGCGTTAAATACCGACAAGAACACGTCTTCCTGCTCAGTTCGCTCAAAAGACCCAAGGCCTTCGAAGTCAAGGACAACGAGAAGAACGTTATTCGGCAAGATACGGATCGACATCCATGCTCCGTCAGTGCAGCGTGCGCCAGCAATCGCAAAAGACGACCCCGTCAAGTGGTTGAGCAAGTAACTCTTTCCAGTGGACTGCTTCCCCATTGAAGTTATAACGACGCACCTCCCCTGCCACGACTCGAGCAACGGCGACAGAAGTCCGAACCGAATCGATCGAGCGATGTCGACGGCGTGAAGGCTCTGCGACGGGTCGATCATCTGGGTCGCTTGACCGTTTTGCATGACTGTAAGCGAGTTGCTTTCCGCTCGACAAATCTGGATCGGTACAAATGTAATCAGCTGTTGTAGAATGAAACGCACAGGCTGGGGCGCAATGCCGTTCATCCTTGCATCCATCTGTGTCATGAAGACCAAATCTCGTGCTAAGTCCATTCCACCGAGAGGCTTGTTTAGTTTCCGGAGATCACGCATCACGGTTTGAAAAAAGTAACGGCAGTGACTTTCATCAGACTGTGACAGCGCAGAATTGCACATCAAGCGCAGCTTCAACGTCGCATACGTGTCGTCAACTCCCCGAATCAAGCCGCGAACAGGAAACTTCTCGTACATGTGATAGAAGGCTCGAAGCCAGTGATCGACCTTGCTTGATCCATCCGTCTCGACCTTAGTGCCGTTTACTGAACGTTCCTTCGAGTGCTCAATGCGAAACGATTCGCTTCGCACGGTTGCCGTTAGTCGATGCACGCGAATTCTCTTTCGCTCCTCGTCGACTGCAAACAAAAAGTCCTGGAAACTTTCGACCGACAGGTGTTGCGATCGAAGTGATAAAGATATCGGATTGCTTACAGGTACTTCGCGGTAGTCTTCGCTGGCTATGGCACACAATTCGGATCGTTGCGTAGAATCCATTGCGTCTTCGGCTTTTTTGCTCGCCATATAGCCCAACACTGCATTGTCGGCTATAGTAAACAGCGGACTCGTAGACCCACCGGATCCTGATACCAGCGTTTGAGCAATGCGCGATGTCTGCTGGTTTTTGACATTCACAGACTGGATCGACCCGTTCTTGTCGATCGCGTACAGGAAGCCATCGACCAAGAGAAAACTGACGACCGGAAGTGACAACGATGTCCGCAGCGACAACTCAACGTGCTTGTAAATTTCGAGCGATGAAAACGTTTCGTTGAAGCGGTACAGCGCGACCCGCCCACCTTCTTCCACGAACGCCATGACTCGTTCATGAACGTTGTAGTCGCACAACGATGCAACTCGCCCAAATGAACGCGTGAACGTCACCGTTCCCACGGTTTTGTAAAAGTACGATCGCTGAAGTGGGAAGTCGATGCGTTCTACCGTCATCTTTTGCTGAGAACATGTCACCAAGAGGATGCAGCGATTTTTGATCGCGAAAGCTTTTAGCAGCGTAGCCCCTGGACTCAAACGATGCGTACCCAGCTGATTGGGGCTAAAGGATCCGTTGTCATCCTGTGCCAGCTTGAAAACGTTTATCTGGTCCGTCGCAGGTTTCCAGTGTTCCTTTACGACCGAGCACTTCACCACAGTCGGAAACACGCGAGGACGAATGGTCGTCATGAGACCACCTTCATGTTGGTTGCGCCAAATCTGCAACAGTTCCTCGAAAGCACTCGAGATGGCCTCACGCTCGTCTTCTTGACACGTTCGAACAATTGCCTTCCGCTTTTCTTCACTCCACGCGGGCAGCAAGACGCTGTGAGTGACAGCAAATGACTGTTCAATCGCCTCGAACCAAACTTGTTTAGCTTCGTGCAGGGGTTCGATCATGCATTCACGGAATCGGTCCGTCAGTAACTCCGGAGTTTGATCTCCAAGCATGCTGCTCAATTTCTTCCACGCTCGTGTCAAAACACCTTTGCTGTTGTTGCCCGGAAGTTCCTTTTCAGATGTAGTAAAGTCGCTCATGAACGTTGCTAAGCTTTTACTTGCGTTGCTTGGAGAATCATCCGACGAGTGCTCGCAGAATGCCAAAGCTATGGCCGCCATTTGATTCTTCAGACGAAGCGGTAAATCTAGTGTCGTTTGTGTTGCTTTGTCGATCTTGCTCCAGATGTCGCGATTCGTTTGGGCTTCCTGCACGTACTCGTGCACCACCTTGAAGGCCGGCTCATCTTTGGCCGCCTTAAACAGCACATCCAAGTCAAACAACTTGTCCACACATCGGATTAGGGCCGCCCGACGATCCTCAATGCACTGTTCTACTCGGTCCTTTGACTGCTCCATCGACGCTTGCAGACTACGGTCTTGCGTCTCTTTGATGCTTTCGAGCTTCGTTCCGGGCCACTTTTCGCTTGCATTCAGCATCATATTGATGAGTTTGCCTCCTGGCGTTCCATCAGTTTCGAACCGTAAGTTCCGCAGCTTGGACTCGTTAGCAAGCCACTTCGCAAATTCATCGGCGCTGTCAAATGTAAGGCGATCCGTTTTGCTGCATCTCTCGGCTGGAGCTGACTCCACCACGGCAAACGCAGGATAAGTGCCTTTTAGCAGCCGAACATTCTGTGCCGACACGCTTGTAGGCAACACTATATCCGGCAGACATCCGCAATCGACAGCGTCTTTCTGGTCTTCCTGCACGTCAACGTGGAACGATACTGAAAACGATTCCCAAGCGTCCAAATTGTTTGTCTTCATAGAAGCGACCGCTTGCTCGACCAACTCCACATCTTCGGATGACAGGCAGCACACCATGTCGGGGCTCAAGCATGACAAGAAACGGAGCACGTACGTCGCCGTATCACGCAGTCGAACCTTCCGGAACAATCTTTCTTGTATCCATCCAAATAAAACCAGCGAGTGCTCCGCAGTTTCGTCGTCCTTTTGCGTTACGCAATAGATCCCCTGGTCTTCCGTCTTCAAATTGTTGTCAGTCGCAGGAGACCAGCGATCCATCTTTCTCAGCTCGTGCTTTACAGCGTCTTGCTTACCGAACAGGGATATCACCTTGGTGCCGTCGGAGGTGCCTTTTCCGTTTGTCTCAAACACCTGCTTTCGAAGGAAGCGAGCGAAGTCGTCATCGAAGTCACTGGCCTCCAGCATCTCGCTCTCAAAGTCTTGGGAGCTTGCTGTCGACAACATTCCGAGCGCGCAGCTCAGTCGCATCACTTCCAACTCGTCCAAGACAGGCTTCACGACTTCAACGTCATTCTGCACTTCCGGCACCAAGCTCACTAGACGAAAACAGTCTGCACTGATGACCTTATGGTTCGTACCAAACTGGAAACGCATAGTCAAACAACAGTCTGCTCGTCAATGTGCTCCGTTCCAGGCAAATTGAGGATTGAATGACAAGTTGGTTGCCCTCAGCACTCGTTTCGTCAACGAGAAAGAAACACTGGGACCCGGCCTTGTCAATTTATCTAGCCATATTTACCAACAGTTTCAAGTCATTTGGCAGTTGATCGCTTATTGTGTCTTTCCGAAGAATGAAGTCTTTTCCTTGAAAAGACTTTTACCTAACTGCAGCAGCGCTCATCGTGCAACACTTAGACTATGACACCAAACTTTCCTTCTTCACGACTACTTCCACCCGTTGCCGCGGTCTAGCTGCACAAACAGTCCTCCATGGTCGCACACGACGTGGACGTTTAAGCACTCGCCATCGACGCTTGACGTGTCTTCCCGAGTTTTTCTCGCCACATACAGTTGGTCTGTCGCCAACGCATGATTGAGCCGTGCGAAATCACTTTGTAGAACACACTCGAACGTGTCGTTGCGCTCTTTTTCATAAGGGGCTCGTTCGCGCGACACCCATCTTTTCGTAAGAGCTTGTGTCAAAACTCCTAACACCTCATCGACGACCGACAGCCACTTTTGCGTGACTGTTAAAAACGGCTGCACAAGGTCATCACGCAATGTCTGCGGAAGTTCTTTGACGCGCAAGATATCCGGTGGAGCAAGTATTCCAACTGAGGCTACGATGGATAGCCCTGTCGGCACTGTGGCTTTCTTTCGCCCGGGCGGTGCATATTGCGCAGCAAACACCATCATTAGTCGGATCGCCTCCTTTGTAGCACTACCGTGGCCATTCAGTGCCAACGTGCTCACACCATGAAACAACGGCTCGAGTCTAAGAGGTAGCGTCAGAATGTCCCAGACATACGGATTTCTCGTCGTCAGTGTTGTGTAAACTCCGTCAACACTTTTGAGCTCGTCCAGAAACAACATCAGAACTTCTCGGGCTTCCTGTCTTGACACGGGCACCAAGGGAATCATTGGATGAAGCACATTGAGCCAGAACAGGGCTTTCGCACCGATCATCAAGTTGCCCCGAAGTTCTTGGATATACAGCTGTACATGATGCTGGCACCGCTCCTCAGCCTGCTGACTCAGCTCTTGGTATTGCTCTTCTGCACGGCCAAGCTTCGTCGCCGGCCAGCGATGAAACTGTCGAAGCAGGGCATCCCGCACTTCTTCGCTGCGCTCGCCGCATTTCAGACTCAGCTGTATAGTCTGGCGCTTCGCAGCGTTGTGCATCCAATCAGCAAGCCGCTCAGCACTCTGGAAGCTTACAACAGAGTTGTGCGTCTCCGTTTGCCTTGGCTTAGTCGACACAACAGCTTTGGGGGCTCCATCGTTGTTTTGGGACTCGACACTCCGACATTTTCGCTTCCACACTGGATTGTTTCCACAATGCGGGTACGCATTCATGACACCGTGTTCTTGGCAATTCAGTCGCGCGTCTTCTTCTTCAATGGCTCGCTGTTGCTTCTTTGCACCGTACTGCTTTGGGTTCCCCGCCATTCTGCCTGACCGTCTGCGTCTTACCGTCATGAACCCGATAGAGAAATCGAGAATTGAGATGAGGTTCAGACCGCACACCTCGTCCCACGCAACCCACAAGTCGCACGGGTCACACTCTTTCACATGCAGTTCCATTCGTTCTCTCGCGAACTGATTGATGGCGACGACCGCTTCCATGATCAACGACTCAAGTACAATACAATATCTTCGTAAGTCGAATACTTACAAAGGCCATGCAGACCGATCGACTGTTGCGCCAGCCCCGACGTCATATCTTTCCACGGACAGAATGGGTTTTCAGCGCTCTGTTGCTTCGATTGACAATTTGATATGCCGAGACCGTTACAAACGATAGTGCATGCGCTCTAAGGCGCTACAACTGTGTGGTTAATGGACGTAAGAAATACCACTACACTCACCCCTCTCTATAAAAGACAACTTTGTGCCCCATTTTTACAGCGTGTCTTCTAAAAAGTCTCTTATAGAGAATCTGAAAGGAACAAGTCGCGTGATATTTTACAAGCGTGACCCGCCGATTATAATGATAATCTAACGTTTACCTACTATATGAAGTCTCTCATGTCGAGCTGTTTCGCCCTATCGTGCCGGTTCTTGCGAATAACCGACGACATCTTATCCAGATCTGACTATAGGATTCGCGTGTCCTCATCTGAGCGTATGAAGTACGAACGCAAAAGCAGGCAGCACTTTAGTGCTTCTCTTGCACTGACAGGCGCTTGATCTCCGTCGCTTTCGACTCCCGCGGGATCCACTTCTGGTTCAATCAGAGCTTCTTGTTCTTCGTGACTCGGCTCGTGGTTTCGATTTCGACATATCATCCATCGCTGACGGTGACACCAAGCTTTTGAAACATATCAGCCAGATCGCAGCAGTCTTGTTGGAAGGCGAGGCTGGACTGTCGATATTCGTTTTGTGCACGCAAATCCGCAACCTGTGGCGCTTCGATGACCCCACTCTTGATCCAGCAACTTCAAAGGTCTCCCCGCCAATAATGTTACAGCTCTTAGCTGCAAACTCAATGGCTTCTACGACGTTAAATCTGCGTTCCATGTTTGCTTCGATCAGATCCATGCGCCATCGCATATGAAGTTTCTTGTAGCGAGCTTTAAACGATCGGATGATATGTAACGGGGCACACCCTTGCGTGAACTTAACGCAAGGGTATCGGTGCCCCGACAGACGTACACAAGGCAAGCGAGGAAGCGTAGATAAGGTAAACAGAACTGTTATATTAATATAACTAAGTCTTTAACCCACTGTATCTCTGTTTGGCTTAACTTAATTATGCTAATATAACTGAGTGTATGGTGACGTCTACTCACCACTCATTGCGCGTGTCTTGCGGCGATTGGAGGGTTGATATCATCAAGATATCAACCAATGAGCAGACTCTTTGGTCGACCCTTCAATATCACCACTTTGGTGATATTGTCTAAAGAATATTCAACTTAATATTCTTTATTGTCACTTTCTTTAAAGTGAAAATTCCATGTAACGGGCTGCCTCGTTACATCACCCCTAACTGATAGTCACCGTGTGACTATCGAAAATATGGCGGCCACCCGTTGGCCACCATTGGGACAGGGAGCACTTGTTAAGTCCGCTCCATTCACTTTCCGCTTTACCTTGCATAGTTAAAATGTCTATGCGAGATGACTCAAGACCCACACAGCCAGGTGCTGTGCCAGCCTCTGCGGCAAACGATTCGTCGTCTGCTGCTCCTTCTTCGCCTTCAGCAACAGGTGCTGCAGGTGCACGCGGCACCTCACCGCGTGCGCATGATGATCCCGACTTTGAGGTCATCTATTCTGGCGAGTCAGACGTGTCTGACTCGGGCTATGCTCCAGAGGCGTCTCGCTCACCGGCGACGCCTCAGTATTTGCCAAGGCCACTGCCGAACGAACAAACTCGTGATTTGCATCACAGTCTGTTCGGCAGTGATGACGATGATTAGGGTGGTGAGGAATATTATTCCTTACCACCGCCGGCTCGTGCGTCTTCGCACGAGCGTGATGACGATGGCGTGAGCCGTCGCCAATCTGGGAGCCGTGCTACCGACAAGGGTACCACCGTGAAGAGTGATGAGCTGAAGCCGTGGCGTTTGCCCGAACACTCATCAACAGCTTGTCTCACGAGACAAGCCAACACCATCGAATACCCTTATTCGATGCGACTGAGCTTCACGGCTTGAGTTCCAGCGCGAAGAACTTTCGCGCTGAAGAAGATTTTTATCTCGATGTCTTTCTTAGACATCGATGGTACAATGGCAACCAAAAGCGTGACAAAGCCTCTCTTTTGTCTGCGTGGAACGCGTTCGTCCAAAACGTAAAGAATTTTGGACGAGAAGGGTGGCTCAAAAACTTGAGGCGACACGCCTCAGGTTCGAAAGGCGAACGCCAACCGGTGCTAGGTACCGGTTGCATCGTTTGTCGAGTGAGGCAGGCATTCCTTGCCTTACATGGGGAGACCCTTGTGCAATTTGTGTTGACAACGTGCAGCGTGCGCACAGGGACGTGTATTCTCTAAGTTCGCCCTGGGGAAGGGCACACATCTCGGCTGAGATGCGTGACGCGATTACAAACTTGCAATCCGTCTACAAGCGCCAAAAGCGCGTGTTTACCGATGGGCCCGAGGACTCATCGGATGGGTCTCGTCATACTGGCGGACGAGACCTTCAACATCCATCAACAGCTGAGAGCGGTGCTCCCAGCTGTTCCAAGAGGGTGGATACCCCCTTCACTGGACGAGGTAGCTCGTCCTTGATCCTGAATCGTCACGGTGATTCAAGATACGCTCCACGAGAAAGCGTTGATCACCTTGAGCATCCACCAAAGGATGTGGTGGAGGAGGAAAGACCTCCTCCAGATGATTCGGTTCACCATCTCGACCCTTACGAGATGGATAGCGCAATCGATGAATTGCGCGATGACTTAAAGCACGAGCGCGACCGGCGCTACGCTTTGACCGATACCGTGCGAAAGAACCGCAAGGATCACGAGGCTGATCGGGCGAGGGATCGCGCCGATTATGCCACGGCGCAGCTTCAGGTCGAGCGGGATGTCCGCTCCTTTTCGGCGAGCTGGCGACAGCTCGCGGGGAGATATCTCGGATGAGTTCCGAGGTATCATATCTGCGCGACTAGACGGATCGTCTGGAGCGCGAATGCAAGAACTTGATGGATGTTCTTGAACGTGGGAGCTATCTTCATCGGAAGAAGAAGGCTCGTACTGACAGTACGGCCTGAGCCTCCCCACGTAAAACGTAGGATGCGTGCGCATATTACGTGGCAATTAGAGTGTGTATACATTGCCCTTGCGATGCAACACTCGAAATGGCCCAATGTAATTCGGCAGTAGATTACTACTACCGACACTAGTGACTGCATGTCCAGGTAAGTTTACCGTTGACAGTAGTACTAGGTCATAAACTATAAATGAAAGAACATTTGCTCTTCCATTCTTGTCTGCGTTCCGTTTCTGACGGTCCACCGCATTTGTGATGGAGTCCTGAACGAAACGGACTACCGCCTCTCGAGTCAGCAGGAAGTTCTCTGCTGACTTGTTGTTGTGTTTTCAGTGCGCTTCGTGCACACTGCTAAGAGATTGTTCTCTTCTTCAGCGAGGTTGTCTTCTTCCTCGCTGGCATAATCGCTGACGATGCTGAATATACCAGCATCGTCATCATCATCCGAGTCAATAATAGCGTCGTCGCTATTATTGAGGTGATCTTCTTCATCGATGTCGACCTGATCGACATCGGCATCATACGTGACGACGTTAGCGTCGACACGTGATGAGCAAGAGCCAAAACAATTTTTGCTCGAGCGAGTCCCTCCCCCTTATCCAAGAGTCACACTCTAGAAGGGCTGGCACACGTGGATGACGTAAGCCATTCACGTAAAACGGTGTGTCTGGGTTGAAGCATGCACCGAATTATTGATGGCGAATTCCAGCATGGGTAGGAATTCGCTCCAACTCGGAAACGAGTGAACACATCCTCGAAGGATCTCTTCAAGGACACGGTTCGCTCGTTCCGTCTGACCATCTGTTTCGGGATGGTCAGAAGTGGATATCTTCAATCTTGTTCCAAGAGAACGGAACACGATTTGCCAAAATGCCGCCGTGAACCGAGGGTCACGGTCGGATACAAGTTCACGGGGTAACCCGTGGAGTCCAAAGACCGTGTCGAGAAAGAAACGAGCACAACCGTGAGCCTTGATCAACTCAGGGACAGCATCAAGATGGACCATCTTGCTGAATCGGTCAACAATCACAAGAATACCAGTATTCTTGTGAGCGTCTTCGGGAAAACCGAAGACGAAGTCCATTGAAACGGACTGCCAGCACTCTGTCGGAACAGGCAGAGGCTGCAATGGCGCACGGGATGAAGGACTAGGCTATACCCGTTGACAAACCTCAAAGCACGTTTGTACTTACGTAAAACTGATACTGGCGTGGCCAGTAAAAATCACGACTTACTGTGAGGTAAGTCTTTCCTCTACCACGATGGCCGCCTGTTGAACCATCGTGACACTCATACATGATGCGTAAACAAAAATCATGATGAGCGGGGACGACGACACGAGGCGTGTCGTCGGCAACAGCTGTATAGTACAGCAATCCGTTGCGTGTAATATACCGATCCGATGAGGATCGGTACAAAGCCGGTAAATCCCTTATGGATTTACTGGATGGATTCACCAGATGATACATCAATCACAGAAGATCCTTATCTTCTGCGTATGCCTTTCGTACGTCGTCAAGTAAACTTAACGACGGGACACTGACTGACAGTGTCGCAACAGTAGGCGTATCCTCACTGTTGGATTGAGCGTCCGGCTCGAAATCGGGCCGACGCGAGAGCGCATCAGCGAAGACGTTTAGTCGTCCGGGTTTATACTCCACGGAGAAGTTGTACTCCGCGAAGAAAGACAGCCACCTCGCCATTCGTTGCGAGAGGTGTAGACTGTTTACGGCCGT